ATCATCCTCATCATCCTCAGCACCAAGCATCAGCATCATCATCCGCATCCTCATCCTCATCCTCATCCGCATCCTCCTCATCAACAGCATCATCATCATCCGAATCCTCATCATTAACATCACCACCACCCTCACCATCTCCACACTCCTCCTCATCCTCATCATCATCACCACCACCATCATCATCATCAGCATCGTCGTCATCATCATCATCATCATCAACATCATCATCATCATCAGCATCATCAACATCATCATCATCATCCTCATCCTCACCCTCATCCTCATCCTCATCATCATCATCATCATCATCATCATCATCATCATCATCATCATCATCATCGTACTGGTCCTCGTCTTGTTAGCATTCCTTCTTCGCCCACCTTTTGCTGCTCGGCATCCTTCTGCTCTCCTTCCTCTCCCCATCTCTGTGCCTCCCTCCCCTCGTCTTCCCATAATCCTTCTCCTCACCCAGGGGGGGTGCGAGGGGGGGGGAAGAGGAGGAAGAAGAGGAGGAGGAGGAGGAGGAAAAGGATTTTGGATTGCAAGGCTGATGAAGCACAGTGCCTGTCAGCAATAAAAAGCAGCGCGACGCTGGCAGAATATTAGCGGGAGCTACAAAGTTCTGCACGGGCGCTAAGTTAAACAGCCACCACCAGTTCAGGGCAGTTAAAAGCAAGAGAGAACAGCAGGGCAGTCCTGACGGTTCTGGTTGCCGACAACTCCCTGGCGACCGGTCGAGTAAAGGTGAACAGTGACAGAAGGCGGCGAGCTCGCAACTCCCTGGCATCGCCGAGCCTTCACAGTACCAGAGAGGAGAGTGCAGACTTCAAAGCAAGGAGACGGGGGCAGTCGTGCAAAGTATCTGCAAGCTCGCCCGTGGGAGACCACGGTAGGCACGAGTGTCGAAATCGTGTCGGAGCTTGCAGGAACCAGGGCACAAACCAACTTACAGTATGAACTGCGAGTCAGAGCAACTAGTAACCAAGAACGCAGAGAGTGGGATCCACACCTGTGAGATATCTGGCTGGGGCATCTGACAACAATGATCATACACAGGAGTCTCGTTCCTGGGCCAAGAGGAGGAAAAGAAGGAGGGAGGAGGAGGAGGAGGAGAAGGAGGAGGAGGAGGAGGAGGAGGAGGAGGGAGGAGGAGGAGGAGCGCAGCGTAGAGGAGAGATCCATCCGACCGACCACTGCGCTCAGCTCAACAGCTGAGCACACTTCCCCAGGCTCGAGCGACTGGCTACACCAGCGATCAGAGCGGAGGACAGAGAAGCAGGGGCCGCGGCCGAAGGCAGCGGGGCGGGCGGCGGGCGCCCACCTGTGCCGAACGTCACGTGCATGTGGGCGAAAAGCGGTGTTTCAATCAGGGCCGCAGGAGGCGGCACGCGAGAGCGAGGAAGGGTGGCAGCAGCAGGAGGGACATCAGCAGGAGCGAGAGGGCGGGTCGAGAGGACAGCCATGGAGTCACGAGCGCGGCGGACGGCCACGGAGCGGATGAGGGGGCCGAGCGGGCAAACGAGTGGCAGACTATTTTCGGCGCCACGCTCACGATTCACCCTTGAAGTGCAGAGGCCAGGATTTCCACCACCATTCAGCAGATTCGGCGACGACTGAGCCTGCAACAACGGGCTCGAGGAGCACCCGTGCACAGGACTTTGCGTTCTGCCAGTAACATCAAGCGTCATTGGCGATGTCTGAGCCTGCACCAGCGAGCTCACAGAGCTCCCATGCCCAAGACTTTGCGTTCTGCCAATAACATCCAGCAACATTGGCGACGACTGAGCCTGCAACATCGGGTTCGAGGAGCACCCGTGCTCAGGACTTTGCGTTCCGCCAGTAGCATCCAGCGATATTGGCGACGACTGAGCCTGCAGCAGCGGGCTCGAGGAGCACCCGTGCACAGGACTTTGCGTTCTGCCAGTAGCATTGTCATCCAACTCGTCGCTATGTCCACCACGTTCGGGGGTGGCGATCAGCGTCGATGGAGTGCTCGGGCAAGACATCGTGGGAACCAGTCTTGGAGTCAAGCATGGTGACTGTCCTGGGGTCAAGCCTGCGCCAGCGTCGAAGTCGGCTTCACTATCACCAGCGGCCGAGACAGCATGGACGACAACAGGGTCGTCAGCAGAGGAGGTGGAAGAGTCGTCGGTGAACGTGCGCGGTGTCGGTATGAAGGACGGCGGCGGCTGCCATTTCTTTTCTATCTGGTCGGTGGGAGACGCCATACGAAGAGTTCTGACCGCCGCTCGAGTCGCCGAGTTCAGAGCATCAGGGGAGACCCAATTGCGCTCACGAATAGTGTGATACGTAGTAAACATCACGACCATCTCCTCCACCCGTTCCACACACGGTGCCGTCAGGCACAGACGTTCGTGAAGAGAGGCAGGAAGAGAGCGACCCAGTGCGCGACCGACAGCTCGAACCAAACGGTGGCACCGCATGTAGTGGCACTGTCTGTCAGCACAAGAGTTACACCCAAAGATACAGAGCCTCTTCCCCGAATGGTAACTTATTCGATAACTTGTGAGCCAAGCAGATGCCCACGTCTTGATAACAGGGAAGATCCAGCTCGTGGGCAGCAGCTGCAGCAGCATCTGATTCGCCTCCCACGGCACCCGATGTGGAAAGGGTTCATACATGGCAAAGTAGCGTGCCAGCCTGGTCTCGAAAGTCGAGCTCAACGGGAACGGCGTAACGAACTGCTCGAAAAGTGCCGAGGTGGCTGCTCTCTGAAATTTTGGCTTCCGCCCCGAGACCACGAGCTCCGAGGCGATCGCAGACGTACAACAGCGCAGGATGTCTGAAGAGTAGCCAGCATGTGCAGAGCCCTGACGCAGCCAGGAGTAGGTCTGCAGGATGGGTGGGAGCCGCCAGTGCCGTCCAGCGTCACACATCCAATCCTCTCGAGTACGACAGGTCGCGAGGGACGCGTCATCAAATCGCCCCTGCATAATATCATCATTCCATGAAAGAGTGGTGTTGGTAATGTTAGAGCGTATGTGAGAATGCTCGCTGAACGTAATGGTAGCAGCTCGGGACAGCGCGGCAACGCATGCACGTCGCACAAGCGGGATCTTGGGGCCTCCCCACGAAGAGAGCTGGGCCCAGCCAGAGGCAGGTAGAGTACCCATAGGAGCACGGAATACCTGGGTAAGCACTGAGAGCTCGAAAGCGGCCAGTCTGGGAGGCAGAGGGAAGAACTGGGCCAGGTAGGACAATACAGGGAGGGCTCTGGATCTGTAGAGCACGCCGTTGATCCCCAAGGGGGCGGAGCCTGAACCGAGGAGCCTAGCACGCGACTTCAATTTCATCCGAGCAGCGTCCCACTGCATCTGGATCGTGACATCGGGCCCCAAGAGAACGCCCAGGTACATCAGGTGGGCCACGACCTCGAACGCTTGCCATTCGGGAACAAGCCGGCCAAGGATAGCACGTGTCCTTTCCAGAAGGTCAGGGGTGAGCGTCGTGTGCAGCGGGGTGACTTTGCATTTACTGACCTTGAGGCAGAGCCTAGTTAGGAGCCGCGTAGTCGTCATCACACGGTAGAGCACCTGGAGCCCGCGAGCCTCGAACAAGACAGCCCCAATATCGTCCGCGCAGGCCCTCGCCAGGCCAAGTCCAGAGTCCTCAAGCGAATATTCCAAGTCAGTCAAGAACGGGGCCGCGCTCAAAGCGCACAGGGTCCCAGACAGACCGCATCCCTGAATGATCCCCGACCTCAGCCAATACACCGAGTGGAGCAGGCCACCGTGGGCCACGACCCCTTCGATCGCAGAGTACAACCAGGCCAGGAAGTGCATCACTGGGGATGGCAGACGGAGGCGAGCAAGGAACAGCATCATGAACTCCTGGGAGAGGCTCGGGAAAGCCCGGCCGAAATCGAACGAGACCAGCAGCGGCATCTTGGACGAGGCCAGCGGGTGGGCCCCAGCGATGCGACTGAAGCCATCGAGCTCTAAGATGTTGTACCCGAAGCTTCTGCCCTGTACGAAGCCGCGCTGCGACTGAGGGACGAGGGAGTCGACCACACCTTTAAGTGATCGGTTCACAGCAGACGTCAGAATTTTCAGGTCGGTGTTGCGGAGCCCGAGGACCCTGATCTTATCGGCAGAGCGTATGCAGCCTCCAGAGGCCAGGTCTTCGTGTTCCGATCCCTTAGGAAGGTACGCTTGCAGAGTAACACTGGCTGCGTCGAAGAGAGACTGCCCACGCAAGATCCAATCCATCATAAGACATAATACTTCCAGGCAACAGTCGGCAGCTGCCCAAGCAGCGTACGGCAGTCCGTCAACCCCAGGAGCCGAGTGGCGAGCACGTGCCACAATATTCCGAATCGTCGCTTTCGAGGGTGGCGGGACGTCAGGGAGCACGGGTGAGGGACACTGTTGTTCGATGTATTTCTGAGCAGTTTCGAGATCGACTTCCGAGCGCGAGAAGACAGGGCGCCAATATTTCGTGAGAGCATCAACCCTTTCCTCTGGGGCTTCAGCTAACCGAGGGCCGTCCCGAACAGCACGAAGAACCAACCTCCGTGAGAATGGGGCCCAGATTGCAGCTTGGCGTTCCAACAGCTGCCGACGACGAAACGAAGTGGGCGGACGGGTCGAACGAGAGCCTGCAGCAGCGTCAGCAGCGGCACGAATCTCTTTTTTTCCAGGAGACGCATATGCACTCCATCCGTCCACATGTGGAACGATTCAGGATGACGAAGGACAACTTGTGAGTCTCCGACTTCGAGCAGGTCAGCTGCGGTAGCCGAGGTCGCCACCAGCCGACGGGCGAGCGGGAGATCTTGTCGCCATACTGCTCGTGCACACCCTCGGGCCACCAGCAAGGCAGTTTCGTCGCCAGAGGGATGGTAAACAAACATCCAGTCACGGACTTCACGGGCAGCTTCTTTCAACATGCCCTTGAAGTGTTCCTGGTAGATGGCTGCAGAGCACCACTTCTCAGCGCCAGCGCCATCTTTGAACATGCCCTCAATACGTTGACGAAAAAGAGGACTCTCGAAGACATGGCGAGGAACAGGCTGCTCAGATCTGGGACGAGCTTGGCGTTGACGAAGCACCGTGAACAAAGCAGCGTGGTCCGATATCAATGAGCGAGATAATACTTCGGGGTCTCCTATGGTAGAGGATTCCGCACTCATCTGGCACATCATCCGTCCAGCCACTGAGCAGAAGAACCGATCGAGGTAGCTGACCGAGTTGGTGTCCTTGGTGTAGTGCGTCGGTGACTCCGAAGAGATCTCAAGAAATAATCCCAATGTCCTCAGCCACCGAGCAGCCATAGCACGATGGTTTCGAGGATCAGTGGCTCGAGCAGGTTCAGGCCGTTGAAGAAGCAACGCCTCATCAGGGCCGAAGTTGAGGTCGCCCTGCACAATCACCAGGAAGTGTAGAGGATCAGCAGCTGCTCGCACCCGCGCAGCGTCGATCTCAGCACATACCTCGTCAATCTGCCTCGTGTTGAGACCATGGTTATGTATATTGAAGTGCACCAGCTGAAACCCCTGCCCGACAACGTCGACTCGAAGGACCCTACCTTGCACGACGGCCGTAGCATTGCTGGTAACATCGAGCTCCGACGCGAGCTTCGGTAAGACAGTGGCAACTCCTCCCGCAGCCGAGCCCCCATCATCGGCTGTGCAAAAGGAGGAGGAGGAGGAGGAGGAGGACGACGAGGAGGAGGTAACAAAAAAGGAAGGGAAAAAGAAGTACGCCGACCTTTCGGCCCACGGGAAGGGGGCTCCGCTCTCCGGAGTCGCTTCCCGTGGAGAGGGGCAGAATAAGCTGACAATCAGCCAACCGACCTCGTGACCGCGGCCTGCGTGCGAATCTCGTCAGGTGGCAGATCCTTCTCGTCCTCATCCTCTCGTCCCCCCCTTCCCCCTTCCAATCGTAGCCTTGACACTGTGCGCGATTAGATCTGCGGACGCTGCCCTGCTCTGGTCATCATCATCTTCATCATCATCATCATCATCATCATCATCATCATCATCACCACCACCACCACCACCACCATCATCCTCATCCTCATCCTCATCCTCATCATCATCATCATCATCATCATAACCATCATTATCATTATCATCATCATCATCATCATCATCATCATCATCATCATCATCATCATGAGCATCATCATCATCATCATCTTCATCTTCATCAGCATCATAATCATCATCACCATCATCATGATCCTGATCATCAGCATCATCATCATCGTCGTCATCATCATCAGCATCATCATCATCATCATCAGCATCATTATCATCGTGATCATCATCATCATCACCATCATCATCATCATGCCTCCCTCCCTCCCCTCTCGCCCCTTCCCTCCTCCGCAGCGTCTTGTCCCCTCATCGAGAAGGCGGTCCGCCCTGCGGGAAACATCCGGGGAATGGGCAGACCAAGAGCGAGACAGCCAACCGATTCAGCAGCTAGGTAGTAGCTATAGCCAGCGTGCGAACGACATCGGTAGCACATCCTCAACTTCTCTTCCATCCTCCTTTTCCTGCCCCTCCTGTCCTCCTGCCTCCTTCTTTCTACTGCCGACCGGGTCTGTTGACGCTGCCCTTCTCATCCTCATCCCTCCCTCCATCCCTCCCTCCCCCACTCTCTCCTTCCCTCCCTCCTTCCCTCCCTCCTCCACGGCCTCCTCCTCCTTCTCCCCCTTCTCCCCCTCCCTCATCCTCGCGCCCCCTCCCCCCACCCCCGCGGCGGTCCCGTCAGACCGGCTTCTCCGACATCGCGGAGTCCAGGACCAGACCGCGAGATGATGCTGCGGCGCCTCTGGCAAGGGAGGAGATGGGTGCGTATGACGAGGATGTGGAGAACGGCGAGGACGGAAACAGGAAGAGAAGCAAGTGGAGGGGGAATATGGTGAGGGTTAGGAGGGGGACAAGGAATGAGGATGAGGATGAGGATGAGGATGAGGATGAGGATGATGATGATGATGATGATGATGATGATGATGCTGATGCTGATGATGATGATGATGATGATGATGATGATGATGATGATGATGATGATGATGATGATGATGATGATGATGATGATGATGATGAGAGTGAGGATGAGGATGGGGATTGGACGAGGCTGAGAGTGGGCGCGGACAGCGATGGGATGATAACTTGGATGCAGATCACGGGGAGCAGAAGGAGAACGAGAAAGGGTGATGATAAGGCAGACATGTAGAAGGAGGAGGAGGAGAAGAAGAAGGAAGAGGAGGAGGAGGAGGAGGAGGAGGAGGCAGAAGAAAACGGGGAGGATCAGGGCGAGGAGAAAACTGCTCTGGCGGCCTCTGTTACCGCGATGCCGCCTACCTGACATCCGAAACAATCCTCCTTTCCTCCCCCTTCCCCACCAGCTCTAACCAACACATTCTCCCCCCAACCCACCACTCACCGCCTCGTCCCCATGCCCACCCTCATCGGAATCCTCGTCCACCCGACAGAGGGCAAGCGAAACTGCGGGCATGGCAGCGCCACCGTTCGCTCGTCGCTCGTCGCCGACCCTGGTCACCGACATTACAGACGCGCCCGCGTCTCAGCTCGCGCTGTGCGTTGCGCGAACTGCCTGCTTTCTGCCACCAGGACGATGCGCCGGTGCCCCCGGCGTGCGCGGCGATCTCGCCTCGAGCAAGAGCAACCCCGATAGCGCCAGCCAAGCGACGCCGACGTCTCACGGCACGGGCAGCCTGAGCCGCACACGCGGAGTGGGCCTGCCTCTCCTCGAGGAGCGAAAAAGACGACGTCCGAAGGTTCGCGCGGACCGCCTGGGTCGGTGCTGGACCCCCCCTTTCCCTTGCGCGATGGGAGAACCCAAGTTTCGATGTATGTATTACTCCATTGCGACACGCACAGGGGGGGCAGGGAGAGGGGGGGGGGGAAAGGCTTCTTAGGAGTCGCCTCCTTCTGAGACGCCTCCCCCCTACCCCCTCTCTGCGCGTGGCTGAACGTCCCCGCCCGACAGCTCGGGCTGATTTAAAGGAAAGGACCCCCGACCAGCCTCGCACACCCTGCATACCGCGGCCGCCGGGCCCCAAAGGTCCTGGCGTTCCGTGTGCATCCCGCCGCGCGTCTTCGACGGAGGACGCCTGCACAGCGCGGCCGCCAGGGCCAGAGGGGGCCCGGCGCTCCCTGGGGATCCCGCCTCGCGCTCCGCGGGGTGGGGATCGCTCGAAGCGGGTCAAGCTCTGTTCATGCGCAGTCGGAGCAGGGCCAGCTGAGGCAACGGCAACTCAAAATCGGTCCCCCAGGACCCTCCCGTGGTCCAAGCGCGCCAGGTCTCCTCGGGGGGGCCCCCGAAGGCCAATTGCCGTCGCCCTCCTCTGACATTCGGTCTTCTCAGATGGTGGCTGGCTCCTCATAGAGCATCACACCTCTCTGTGCGCAAACGCACGCCCACCCCGACTGCTCAGCAAGTGCAACTGGGGAACTCAAGAAGTACCGATACTGCTGCTCCCCTGACCTCTCCCAGGGTGCGTCAGGGCCCCCCAAGAGGCGGACAGAGGGGAAAACGAACGAAGGGCACACGTCCTTCAGTTCTAGTCGTGCTCATTTCTGATTGTGCTCGTTTCGGACTTGATCAGGGACCGACCGTCCCGGCATTCCTATAGTCCTACCACGAAATGTTCTTAGAACCCAGAAGTGCTCTAAGAACAAAAGCAATGTTCTTACAACATCAACCCGATGTGATAAAACAAGACAGTCCCAGCCAGAAATGTTCTAAGAACATTTCGTGGGAACCACAAACGGTCCTTAGAACATTGTTTGGTAGGACTGTAGGCACGCCAGGACACTTCGCCACTGCTTGACCAACTGTTCCTGGCCCCCCAGTGGCCAGGAAGAGGCCCAGGATAGAACAATTAGGAATGAGAGGATCTCGGCCCCCCAAAAATCAAAGAACTTCGACGAATTAGAAATGAACAGTGTGTAGCGGCTTTGGTTACCTTCTCCTCCTCTGAGCAACGCGGCGACGGAGAAGGCCACCGCGTCCACCGACGCGCTCCGTCGCGCCCTCCCTTCTCCTGGCAACCGCTCCGCGTGCTCCGCCGCGCTGTCGGGCCCGCCAGCCGCCCCTGACCGTCCCCTTTTCGGGGAGGGGGCCCCGCCCCCGCCCCGCTCAAAAGCGGAGGAGGCGGAGGAGGCACAAACAGGTAGAGGCGCTTCGGGGAAGGCTTCCAATCAGCTGCAGCGGCGGCTGCGACTGAAGCAACTCTGTAGCCCTGCGATGGGTTATGGATGCAGGGAGGAGAAGGAGGAGGAGGAGGAGGAGGAGGAGGAAGAGGAGGAGGAGGAGGAGGAGGAGGAGGAGGAGGAGTCAGGCCCACTGGTAAGCAGCTACGCTAGCGATGCTAAACTGAGCGGGCACTCTAGATGCCCAAGTAGGGGTCGACACCTGTGAGGTCAGCTCTCATGGGGCAATGTGGCTTTGACTGTTTCTCTTGCTCCACTACGCGTCTCCACCATGCACCACGTCCCTCCTCGCGTTGCCCATCTCCCAGTGCTGCGGTGTTGCTGACCTGCCTGGTGTCCGCGTTCGCACGCCTCCCAGCAGGCCAGTCCTACTGCCGACAAGTAGGCACGGCACACTGGAGCCGCCTGGCCTGCCTGGTAACATTTCGGTACAGCGGGTGGTCGAGGTCAAGAAGTCAGGGGGGATGGGGGATGGAGGATCTGTCGTTGTCTTTATCCGCTGGCATTGCCCGTTGCACGGGCATTCTCGCTCCGCTCTGGTCAACATCATGTCATGTATCTCCTCTAGCATGGCAGGCCTCCCTGTGCCGCAATGCCGTCTGCCTGTCCTGTGCCCCCGCCACCGCGGGCTGGCTGACGATTCGGGTCCTACAGCATGCCCGAGAAAAAAGGAGGAGGGTCATGAAGAAAAGGAGGGGTTTAGCAACAGCAGCAGCAGCAGCAGCAGGGGCAGAAGGGCGAGGCGCAGGAAGACGAGGCGGAGGAGCGGCAGGAAGAGCAACGTCAGGAGGAGACGGGGGAGCAGGAAAAAGGGGAGGAGGAAGGCCAAGAGAAGGAAGCGCAGGACCAGGGGAAGGAAGAGAGGGAGTGCGCCGAGGAGGAGGAGGTCGAGGAGGAAGAGGAGGTGTCAAGAGGAAAGCCAGCAGCACGAGAACAGGCCCGCCTGTGTGGGCGCCGCGGCCTCCGGCAGGTGTGCGCTATCAGGGGCGCCGGGCCACGAGGACGCAGGCGCCGGGACGGCTGGAGGGCTCCAAGGGCGGCCGAGCCTCCTCCTGCTCCATCTCCCTGCTCGTCCTCCTGCACCTGGCTCCCCTGCTTCTCGTCGTGCTCATCTCCCTCCCCCACAACCCCCCTCGTCGTTCTCCTCCCTCTCTTCCTCCTCCTCCTCCTCCTCCTCCTCCTCCTCCTCCTCCTCCTCCTCCTCCTCCCATGCCACTTCTCCTACTGCTCCTTCTCCACATCCTCTTCCTCCTCCTCCTCTTCCTCCTCCTCCTCCTCCTCCTCGTCCTCCTCCTCCTCCTCCCTTGCCCTCCTCCTGCTCCTCATGTTCCCCGTGTTCCTCCACCTCCTCCTCCTCCTCCTCCTCCTCCTCTTCCGTTCTCTTCCGTCCTCTTCCGTCCTCTTCCGTCCTCCCTCCTTCCTCCTTTCTCCTTCCAACTCCTCTTCCTCCTCCTCCTCCTCCTACTCCTCCTCCTCCTCCTCCTTACCACCACCACCACCACCACCACCACCACCATCATAACCATCGTCATCATCACCAGCATCATCATCATCATCATCATCATCATCATCATCATCATCATCATCACCACCATCATCATCAGCATCGTCGTTATCCTCATCATCATCATCATCATAATCATCATCATCATCATCATCATCATCATCATCCTCATCATCATCATCATCATCATCATCATCATCATTATCATCGTCGTCGTCGTCATCATCATCATCAGCATTACCATTATCATCACCACCATCATCATGATCAATGTTCATAGTACTATCATCAGCATCATCATCATTATCATCATCATCATTATCGGCATCATCACCATCACCATCATCATCATCATCATCATCATCATCATCATCATCATAATCATCATCATCATCATCATCCTCATCATCATCGTCATCATCATCGTCATCAGCATCGCCATACTCATCGTCATTAACATCATCATCGGAGCAGCATCCTCCTCATCATCAGCAGCATCAGCACCATCATCATCACCATCATCATATCACCATCATCATCATCATCATCAACATCAGCATTATGATGACGATCATCATCATTATCATCATCGTCACCATCATCCTCGTCGTCAGTATCATCGTCGTCATTCGCAACCAGCAGCATCTTCATCAGCAGCATCATCATCGTCCTCGTGATCACCATCATCGTCATCAGCAGCATCATCGTCATCATCACCAATGCCATCTCCATTACCATCACCATCGTCATCAACATCATCGCCATCATTTGCATCATCATCATCACCATCACCATCACCGTCATCCTCATCCTCATCCTCACCCTCGTCATGATCTGCATCATCGCCAGCATCAGCATCATCTTCGTCATCACCGTCGTCATCGTCATCATCGTCATCATGACCATCAGCATCATCAACATCAACATCCTCAGCATCACAATCATCATCAGCATGATCATCATCATCATCAGCGCCAGTAGCATCATCATAACCATCATATCATCATCAGCAGCATCGTTATCATCATCAACATCATGATCATCATCATCCTCATATCCTCATCCTCATTCCCATGCTTGTCTTCATCCTCAGTCTCCTGCCCATCCTCATCCTCATCCTCATCCTCCTCATCCTACGCACCATCACCACCATCATCATCATTATCATCATCATCACCAACATCAGCATCATCATCAGCAACAGCATCATCATCACCATCACCATCATCATCAGTATTAGTACCATCATCAGTATCATCGGCACCATAATCATCAGCATGATCATGGTCATCATCAGCATCACCATCAGCATCAACATCATCATTACCATCATCATCATCATCATCAGCAGCAACATCATCATCATCAGCATCATCATCATCAGTATCATTACCGTCATCATCATCATCATCACCACCACCATCATCATCATCATCATCATCATCATCATCATCATCATCATCATCATCATCACCACCATCATCATCAAACGCATTCCCTCTCCATTCCTCCGCCTTTGTATTCCTCTCTGTCTCGTCCCTATTTCATCCTCGTCCTGCCCTCAGTCCCTCCCGCAGACAGGGAAGCTGGGCGAAGAGGCAGGGGGTGGCCCGACAGCGTCTGCTGCAGCCGCCCTTGGACCCCCCCAGGACGAGGAGGGGGGGGAGCGCAGCCTACGCCCCCCCGGGGATGATGCGCGCGCGTAAGCTCGCGCCTGAAACGTTGCGGCCGAGCCAAGTTCTCCGATGGCGGCGGCAGCGGCGCTTGCGATTTCCTCGGCGGTGGCTCCTCTCCTCTCCTCTCCCCCTTTCCCCCTCCCAGTCTTCCCACGACTCCCTCTTCCCCTCCTCCTAATCCTCCTCCTCCTCCTGTTGCTCCTGCTCCTCATGCTATTTCTGTTCCTCCTCCTCCTCCTCCACCTCCTCTATCCTTCCCCTCCTCCTGCTGCTCCTGTTCCTCCTGTTACTCATGTTCCTCTTCCTCCTCCTCCTCCTCCTCCTCCTTCTCCTCCTCCTCCTCTTCCTCCTCTTCCCCCTCCTTCTCCTTCATCTATTTTCCTATTTGTTCAAAGCCATCCCTGTCGTACCCCGAGGCGTGTCGGTAGGGCGGGGACTCCCCCACCGTTTCTTGCATCCGGAAACTTGATATTTGCGGCAGTTTCACTGTTGGAGGGCGGGCGGCTTTCAAGATGTAGCTCTCGCGCCGCGCACACTCGTCTTAAATGTTTGCAGCAACTTCACGGATGGAGGACGGGTGATTTTCAAACTGCGGCTCTTGCCTTCGCGCCGCACACACTTGTCTGAAACGTGCGCAACGCTTTCGCGGATGGAAAGCAGACCAGTTTCAACAAGTGGCTCTCGCCTGAGAGCCGCGCACATTCGCCGCGACATGTTTGCTACAGTCTCAGGGGTTCGTATGGTTGAAGTCCCCGGGTTGGCGGCCTGGCACAGTTCAGGTTTGTCAGGACGCAGCAGACACGCAGATCCACTGTGTCAGAGTCCCCCGAATAATGCTTCGGCACGGTTTAGATCTGTCACGGCGCAATCGTCATGTTGACACGTGGCGCTGAAGCCCCAGGAATGGTGCACAAGGACAAGTGAAGATTATCAAACGGTTGTCGTCCGTTGGGGCACTTCCCGCCACGAAACTGATTTCTTGTAGGGCCGATGAAGAGGGGGAACTTGGACGAGGGAAATATTGCAACACCGCTGGTGCGTCGCGTGGTTGCACTGGTCCTCCTCATCCTCTTCCCTTCCCCTCCTGCCTCGCCTCATCACGCTGCCTCTCCTGCTGACCCTGTGGGGAGGGGAGGGGGTGGGGAAAGAGGGGAGGGGGGGCGGGAAGGGAGGGATGGAATGGTGAAGGAGCGGAGGGAAGGATCCTATCCCTGTGCCCTCCCGCTCCTCCACCCCCTTCCTCCCTCCCTTGCCCTCCCCTCGCCTCTCTCTCTCTCTCTTTCTCCCTCTCTCTCCTGTCCTCCTGCCTACTGTCCTCGTTACCCCTCCCTTCTCCCGCGCCGATCCATCCCATCACTCCCTAGTATTCCTGCATTCCTTCCCTGCATCCCTCCGCTGCTTCCCACCCAGCCCTCCCTCCCCTCCCTGTATCCCTTCCCTCCCTGCATCTCCATACCCCCCCCGTCACTCCCCCGCCTCTCCCTGCATCACTCCCGAACTCCATCCCTCCTCTCCGTCCTTTCCCTCCTGTCCCGCCCGCCCTTCCACCTTGCACATGTCCACACCTGCCCCCCCTCCCACCTCGCCTATCCTACACCACATGTCCATCACCATGGTCCCACACATCCAGCCTGTCTTGAATTACTTCGTTTTGGGCGATCCCCCCACCGAGGAGCTGCTGCACATGGCTTTTAAGTCTGCCGCGCGCGACTCTACAGTGCGATATGATGCAGACTTGCTGACGCACGTTCGTCGCACATGCTCTGTAGACTTGATCGGTGCGCGTGCTGGCTCAGGCCACGAGTGCAATATAGCATTCGGGTGATGCGCGTTCGTCATTGTAAAGGTTTGCGGGTGTAGCTGGTTTACGCTCGTGTTGCGATTGTGCGTGTGTGTGTGTGCTTCGTGTGCGCTTTTGGTGTATGTGGCTTCCAATGTGGCGTAGGTGTTCCTGGTGTGCGCCCCCGCCAACGCATGAAGGGACACGCGAGTCTCCGCCAGTGCTCAGGAGAAGACATGGTGACCGCCAGTGCTCGGGAAAACGCAAGGTTCCCGCCTGTGCTTAGCATACTGCACGACGAGAGCTCGGGCCCACTGACGGCTGCTTGAGGCCTGGCCTGGCCCATTGACGCCCCTCACGCTCTGGGCCCCCGGAGCTTCGCGACGCGTCTCACGCTTCTGGCGCTCTGGAGCTTCAGGAGCTTCAGGAGCTTCAGATGCTTCAGGAGCTTCGGGAGCTTCGGGAGCTTCGGGAGCTTCAGGGGCTTCCGGAGCTTCAGGAGCTTCAGAAGTTCCGAGAGCGTCGGGAGCTTCAGGGGCTTCGGAGGTTCGCGTGGTGTCGGGGACCACGCGGGGGCCCACCCCGACGCCAAGCGGGAGACCCGGACACCACGCGGGAGAGATCCCGACACCACGCGGGAGGCCCCGACACCATGCGGGAACCTCCGGGGAGACCCCGATACCACGCGGGAGGTCCCGACACCGCGCGGGAACCCCATGGGGAGACCCCGACGCCACGCGGTTGCCCCAGACGCCACGCGGGAGCTTCAGGAGCTTCAGGAGGGAGCTTCGGGAGCTTCAGGAGCTTCGAGGGAGCTGCAGGAGCTTCGCAAGCTTCGAGGGAGCGATACCCAACGACCAACCACTCAGCCACCGCGGGGGGAGGGGCCGACACGGAGGAGCACACACACACACACACACACCGCACACGAAAGGGAAGGGGGGAGGCGAAAGGAGATGCATCCCCCCCCCCCCTTTTCCGTGCCGCGGGGGTGAGGATAGAGGAAGGGGAGGGGATGCGTCTCCTGGCAGGCGGATGAAGAGTCCCCCCCAAATCCCCAAATCCCAAATACTGGGAGGACGTGTTGCCCTTTTCCACTCCGCGCGGGGGAAGGGGAGAGCCCCCCCCCCCCTGGCCCCTGGCCTGGCGCTCCAGCGCCTCTCTTCCCCTCTCGCGCGCCGGATCAGGAGCCCCCCCCCCCCCTTGCACTCGGACTTCTTCAGCGCCTCTTCGGAAGAGGGAGCGCCCCCCTCCCCCAGCACTCCAGTCTCTCTCTCTCTCTCTCTTCCCCTCTCGTGCGCCGGAGGCGAGCCCCCACCCCCCCAGAGCCCAGAGCTCGGATGGTTGTCTGTACCCCGCCCCGCGCGGGGAAAATGGAGGGGACCCCCCCTCCCCTGGCACTCTCGGCTCCCTCTTCCCTTCTCGCGCGCTGGAGGAGGAGCCGCCCCCCCCTCCCCTCCCTGCCCTAGGGCTCGGATTGCTTGTGTTTCCCTTCCCGCGCGGCTGAGAAAGAGCCCCCCCCCCCTGGCACTTCAGTCTCTCTCTCCTCCCCTCTCGCGCGCCCGAGGGATGCTCCCCCCCCTCTCCAAGACTCGGATTTGTTCCTCTTCCCCTCCCGCGCGGGGAGAGGGAGAGCCCCCCCCCCTTGGCACTTTAGTCTCTCTCTCTCTCTCTCTCCCTTCTTCTCGCGAGACGGAGGAGCACCCCCCCTCTCGCCAGGACTCGGATGTGTTCCTCTTCCCTTCCCGCGCGGGGAGAGAGAGAGAGAGAGAGCATCCCCCGTCCCCCCCTCCCCGGCCCTCCAGCGCGCGCGTGGTTCTAGTCACAGCTGCGGCTGCGCCAGGTTTTACGGCTCTCCCTTTCGCTCGTCTGATCGGCGACATTGCGAAGTCCGCTGCATGTGGGCGTTGCAGAGTCTCTATCCGCCTCGGCCCCCTCCCCCTCCCCCTCTACTCATCTTCCTCCGCCTCCTCCCCCTCTTCGTCCTCCTCCACCCCGTGTTCCTGCTCCTGCTCCTGCTCTGCCTCACCATTCCCTCCTCCTCCTCCTCCCTTTCCTCCTCCTCTGCCTCCTCCTCCTCCTCCTCCTCCTCCTCCTCCTCCTCCTCCTCCTCCTCCTCCTCCTCCTCCTCCTCCTCCTCCTCCTCCTCCTCCTCCTTGGACTCCGCGCATGTACTTTTGGTCTCTGCAGCGCCCGGTCTGGGCGGCAGGAACGCCCGCCGCAGAAAAGTGGCCAGCGCGCGCGGGCGCTCGCGCGCCTCGGCGGCCTGCCAGCGCCGCGTCCGAGGCTGCCGCCCGTCGAGCCGGCCGGGGACGGGGGGAACAAAAAGATACCGATGCCGCTGCTCCCCCGACATCTAGCGGGCCAGCATAAGTGGGGGGGGGCCGGCTGAAGGGGCGGCAACATCGACTTGGGATCGGCGACGGGCCACCGACAGCGACTCCGAAACTTCCTGGGCGGGGTGGGCCATCGGGCCCCTATCGGCGACGCATGGACGACTGGGGGTGGACGCATCCTCCCTGGGCCTGTCCACTAGTGGTTCTTGGGCCATGGCCCGGGCCCCCAGTGGCCGCTCGGGGCGATCTGGGCCCCCCAGGAGAGCTCGCGGCGAGGCGCAGCAGCTGGAGAGCATCCCGAGGCTGGGAAGCCGCCGAGAAACCACGGAAACGCCCGAAAACCTCAAACCTCGAACCTTCGAACCTAAAGTTGCCCCAGAATCCTCCCTGGGCGCGCTCCGCCCTGGACCTCGGGGCGGCTCCAGCGGTGGCAACCAGGCCCCACCCCCTCCCAAGGCAGCCCGAAGAGGGGAGAACGAGGGGCATCGGTACCGGCATAGCTCGTTCTCCACTGGGGGGCGTGTGAGAGCTCGGTCGGACGGAAGAGGGGGCCATTGAAAGAGGGCTCCACGGAATACGAACCAGCTTGCGCAGCTGGTTTCCCTGGCGCCTCCCGGCTCCGGGAACGCAAACGCATCGAGGAACCAACAGCACGCCGCACGCAACAGGTCGCGTACTCCACCACTTTCCCTCATTGACCCCCCCTGCAATCCAGACCGAAAAAGGAGCGGGGGGGGGCGGCAGAGGAGGAGGAGGAGGAGGAGGAGGACCAGTGCAAACCCAAGACTCATCAACAATGTTGAAATACAACCTTCCTCCAAGATCCCTTTTCAGAAATCCCTACGAGGGGTCATTCCCACCCGTTGGGGGATAACCGTGCGAACATCTTTAAGCGTGCCAAAACACCATTATCAGGGCTTCAACGCCACGAGTTGACCTGACTGCTACGTCTTGTCGATCCTGAATCGTGCCAGAACACCATTCCCGGGATCTCAACACCACGAATCAACTTAACTGTTGCGCCCTGACAGTCCTGAATCGCTTCGAAACATCATGTCTGGTACATTGACCGTGAGGCATCAGAAAATCTCTCGCACATGCTTTCAACAGATGCGTGGCATCTATGCGAGAGCAACATGTTTGAAAATATCCGCCCTCAACCCATTATATTATTGCAATCGTTGAGAACGAATGTGCGCGGCACTGCAGCGAGAACCACATGTTGAAAACCACCCGCCCGCAACCCATGAAACTCTTGCAAATGTGTAGATCGAATGTGCGCGGCGCTAAGGCATGAACCACATTTTGAAAACGAACCGCCCTCAATCCGGGAAACTCTCGCGAATTTTTGAAAACGGATGCGCGAGGCGCTAAGGCGAGAACCGCATGTTGAAGACGGCCCGCCCTCAATCCGGGAATCTCGGCTCGTGCACATGTTTAGAAAGAGTGTGCGCGGCGCTAAGGCGAGAACAACCTGTTGAAAACCACCCGCCATCAATCCGTGATACTTTTGCACATGGTTAAAACGAATGTGCGCGGCGCTACGGCGAGAACCTCATTTTGAAAATGGCCCGCCCTCAATCCAGAAAGCTCTTGCAACTATTGAAACTGAATGTGCGCGGCGCTAAGGCGAGAACCACATGTTAAAAGCGACTGCCCTCAATCCGTGAAGCTCTTGCACTTTTTGAAGACGAATGTGCTCGGCGCGAAGGCGAGAGCCACATTGAAAAAAACACACGCCCTCCATGTGTGAAGCTGTTGTAACGTTTTAGCATCAGGGCCATAAGTGATGAGGAAGTCTCAGGCGAAACGACTGGCCCCGTCCTTTCGACCAGTCTCGGGGTGCGACAGGAGGGAGATATATCTATAAAGAAAATGAATGGAGGAGGACGAGGAGGAGGAGGAAGAGGAAGAGGAGCACGAGCAGGAGGAGCAGGAGCAGGAGGAGGAGGAGGCCTCGAACGATAAAACCCGAATCCGAACTAACGGAGCCGCGCTGCGGTATAGGATAAGTCAGGAGCATCGCACAGAGTGGACGAAGACACACAAGCATTGCTCATACGCGCACGCATGCAACACACCGCCGTGATCATCTGGCCGACAAGGGCGGACGAGGGTGGCGGCCAACACACGTGCGCATCACCCTGGCTCAAAAAGCTTGCAGAGCGCGGGGGCAACCCGCGGAGGATCCGCGACATATTGGACGCCACGTTGGCCCGAGAGAGGAGGGAGGAGGAATGGGAGAAAGGGGGATGAGGGAGGGAGGAGGCGGAGGCGGGAGGGAGGAGGGAGGAGGGATGGGAGGAAGACGGAGAGAGATAGGGAGGGAGTGAGGAGGAGGGAGAGGAGGGAAGAGAAGGGAGGAGGACAATGAGGAGGGAGGAGGGAGGAGGGGGAATGAGGAAGAGGAGGAGGAGGAGGAGGAGGAGGAGGATTTGTTTGAGCACCTAGGCTCCCGCGGCATGCTTACAGCACGCTCAGCGTGTGGGAGGGAGAGGGTAGGAGCGGGTTGGGGGGAGAGGGGGAGGAAGGATGGATAATCGAATTCGTGCATGCATCAAAACCAAAATAACCATTCAAACCTCGTCGAACTCTCCGAATTCGGGCGCGGCGGCTTCCATTATTCTCCTGTCCAAGGCCCGCCGCCCAAGGCTGTCCGCATAAGCGCAGGAGGAGAATCCAACATAGCAAGCCCGCGGACGAGGTCGACCACGCACACCTGAACGGTGCTGGAAGGGGGAGGGAGGGGTGGTATCCAAGGCGAGCTTCGCATCGAGCAACTCCCGAGACGCATCTGGAAGAAAGGTCCGGCCCCCACCCACCCGCCACGGCGGGACGGGTGCTCACCTTCGCAAGATAAAAAGAAAATCGCCGCTCGCGGCCCTCGGAACGGGCCCCCGAACAACCCGACACGAGAGCACTCCGACCCCAAGGGGCCCCCTGTGCGGCCGACCGGGCCGCAGCCGGTGCAGGAAGCACTGGGCTCCTGGGCGGGGCCGTGCACAGGGGCCTCCAAACAAACGTGGCTACGGGCCCCCGACGGCCGCAAGAGAGCTGAAGCCCCTTCACCCGGGGGAGGGGCTGCGCCTTGCGCGGTGGGCCCAACGGCTGCACGTGCCTGCGCCCCCCTCGCAGTCCGTGTGGCCCGCCCCCACGCCCTCGGCGAGAGACGGCTGGCCCCCACCCCCTCTCTCAAAGCTGTCACGGAGCCCAGGGGGGGGGTACAGGGCCCGAGTTCAGCGTGCCTCAGCCCGTCCGCGGCGGCGCGGGGGAGGAGCGAGGAGGGAGGAGGAAGGGATGAGGGAGGGAGGGAGGGAGGAGACGAAGGATAAGGAGGATGGAGGAGGAGGGGAGGGAGGAGGGAGGGTAAGAAGGGGAGGCAGGAGGATGGGGAGGGAAGGAGGGGAGAGAGGGAGGATAAAGGAGGAGAAGGGAGAGGAGGGGAGGGAGTGGACGAGGAGAGGAGGATAGGAGGAGGAGGAAGAGGAGGAGGAGAGGAGGAAGGAGGAGGAGGAGGAGGAGGAGGAGGAGGAGGAAGAGGGAAGGAAGGATGAGCCGGGGAAGGGGGGGCGGGCAAAGGGGGGGAGGAGGAGGGAGGAGGGTGTGGGGAGGAAGGAAAAGGAACTTTATTTGGCCATGGGTTGGAGCCAAGCGCCACCTCCCGAACGCTCATCGCAGCGACAAGTTGGGGCCGAACGAGGGGCCCGAAACGAAAAGGAGGCGAGGGCCACAGGGGGGCCCCGCGGCGGGGGGACAGCGGCCGAGGGAGAACCGAGGCCCGAGGCACCGAGAGGACAAACGCCGGCAAGAGCCGGCAGCAGGCGGGCAAGCTGAATTCAGGCAGCGCAGCCTACCGTCACAGATCCTGTCGTCACCACCTCCTGTCTCCACGCCACCCGCCGCCCAAATATCCCAAGGCAGCTGCCGCTTCCTACGCTACTCCCTCCTCGAACCACCATCAGGTGTGGCAATCGGGGGGGGGGGGGGGGGGCGGAAGCTGTCAGGGGCAAACCTATACGGGGGTTGCTGGGAGTCAGGGTCGCGATCCTCGTCGCGAGCTGCGTGGCCAGATTCGCGTGTCGGGGGATCGAGACCAGCAGCACGAGCAGCAGGTCCCTGCGCGTCCGCCTGGCGAGCATCACCAGGATCCGCAAGCCCACGAGGAAAGAGGAGTACCTCTGATTGAAGCTGAGCATCGAACCGTTCACGACGACGCACAAAAGGTTGAGAAGGCGTTCGCAACGCCCGCGCAGCACAGAGGCGCCTACAAGCCTCAAGGTGCGGCTGTTCATGACCATCGCCTTGATCGCGAGCCGCTTCGCCACGAGCAGGCGGTGCATCTGGGCGAACGGCTTCATCGCAAACAGCTCCTTCACGGAGCGCTTCATCACAAGCCCCTTCATTAGGTGGGACTTTAGGACAAACAGCTGCACCTCGAAGCGGGAGTTCGGCACGAACAGGTTACTCAGGACGAAGGGCTTCATCAGGTCGAACGGCTTCGCCACGAAAGACATAATCTCGAACCAACTGTTCAGGAACAGGGTCGCGAACCAAAACTGGATCCCGTGCTCCGTCGAACGCCCGATGCAGAACATGCACACGACGGTCCGCATCACCACGAACTGATACGAACTGGCCGTGCAGCAGGGCGACCGGTTTCACCACGAACAGCGCCATCACGAGGCGCTTCATCACAAGCATCTTTATCAGGAGGGACGTCAGCGTTCCGCAACAGCTCGGGATGAGTAACGCGACGGGCAGCCACCTCCAAGTCCACGTCCACGCTCTCGCAAGTCAAGGACTCCGTCACGCTCGGCATCTGCACAGCAGGGGACTGGATCAGCGCGCACGCCTGCGCCATGGCTACCTCCGACAGCGGCCAGACGGGCGAGGCGTCAGGAAGCGGCGAAACCATGGTGCCGCAGATGCAGCGCACGCCTGGCCTCAGCCCGCATGCCACCAGCAGTGCGCCCCAGCCAGGGCCCAGCAGCAGCCCAGGACACGTCCACCGAGGACGCGGCCATGAACCCGCCAGGCGGCACTCGGCACGCATGCCAGGCAGCGTTCCGCCTGAGCCCCATCGCGCCAGGAACGCGGTCTCCTGCTGCAGTCCTCTGCAGAGCCGGCCTCGACGCGCGCTCTTGTTTGATCGCGATCGCGAGCGGACACCCGCGCGGCGCCACAAAGTCGGACAGACAAGCGAGGGGCAGCTACGCCGAACCGGCTACGCGGCACCGCGAGCAAAGCGAAGAACTCGACGCGCGCTCGCGGTCCACCCACGAAACAGGGGCGCCGCGTGCAGCCGCCAGCGGCCGAAGCGCTGCTTCCAGAAGCAGCGCGACCGCGCCGCCGAGCAGCACGCCTCGCCGCGGAGGCGCCGAGGGACTCCTTCTCCATGATCCTCAACACACTGGGCCGCCACCTGGGCGGGCAGCCCCCCACCTCCATCCCAGGCGCGCCCGCCGCCGCCGCCGCCGAGCCGCCGACCACGGGCGGAAAGGCAGCAAGGAAAGCGTGGAACACGGCTTGAGCCAATATGGCTACGGAGAAGGAGAAGGGAGGAGGGAGAAGGGAGGCGGGAGAAGGGAGAAGGGAGGAAAGGAGGGAGGGAGGGAAGGAGGGAGGAGGAGGAAGAAGTGGAGGTGGAGAAGGAGGAGGAGGAGGATGAGGAAGGACGGGAAAGAGGAGAGGACGAGGAGGGAGGGAGGAGAGGATCGCAAGGCTGGAGGGGCGCGGCGGCAGAGGTGGCGACGCCCCGCGCACACACCCCTCACGGCCCGCGCCGCGGCTCGTCACCGCGCCTGCCCTCGCCCTCTCCGCGCGCCCCTCGGCTGTCCCGCCACGTCGAGCGGCGGTGCCCGCCCTCTCTCTTCTTCGCCCTCCTCCTTCTCCTCCTCCTCCTCCTACTCGTATTCCTCCTCTTCGTCGTCTTCTTCCTCTTCCTCCTCCTCTTCCTCCTCCTCCTTCCTATCCTCCTCTTCCTTTTCGCCTTCTTCTTCTTCATGTTCCTCCTCCTACGCCTCCTCCTCCTCCTCCTCCTCCTCCTCCTCCTCTTCCTCCTCATCATCATCATCATCATCATCATCACCATCATCATCATCATCATCATCATCATCATCATCATCATCATCATCATCATCATCATCATCATCATCATCATCAGCAGCAGCATCATCATCATCATCATCATCATCACCACCACACCACCACCACCACCACCACCACCACCACCATCATCATCATCATCATCATCATCATCATCATCATCATCATCATCATCATTACATATCATCATCATCAGCATCATCAACATCATCATCACCACCATCATCAGCATTATCATCATCACCTTCACCATCATCACCATCATCATCATCAGCAGCAACCTCCTCCCCATCAGCATAATCATACTCATCATCATCATCATCACCGTCATCATCGTCATTCTCATCATCACCATCATCATCACCACCACCATCAACATCATCAGCATCATCATCACTACCATCAGTATCACCATCATCAGCGTCAGCATCAGCATCATCATCATGATCGCCACCACCACCATCATCATCATCATCAGCATCACCACCATACTCGTCATCATAATCGTCGTCGTCATCACCATCACCATCATCATCATCATCATCATCATCATCATCATCATCATCATCATCATCATCATCATTACCACCATCACCATCATCATCATCATCACCATCATCACCATCGTCATCACAATCACCATCACCATCGCCACCATCATCAGCATCATCATCATCACCGTCAGCAGCATCATGATCATCAGCATCATCAGCATCATCATCATCAGCATCAACATCATCATCTGCGTCATCATCAACATCGCCATCACATCATCATCATCATCATCATCATCAGCAGCATCATCATCATCATCAGCAGCAGCAGCATCATCATCATGCTCCTTCTCATCATGTTCCTCCTCTTCATCGTCCGCCTCATCATTCCAATATCCCTCCCCCTCTTCCTCCACCTGCTTCTTCTCTTCATCTTCCTCCTCCTTCTCCTCCTCATCTTCTCCTCCTCCCTCCTCATCCTCGTGCTGCTCCTCGTGCTGCTCCTCGTGCTGCTCCTCGTGCCCCTGCTGCTCGTGCTCCTGCTCGTGCTCCTGCTCCTGCTCCTGGTCCTGGTCCTAGTCCTGGTTCTGGTCCTGCTCCTGCTCCTGCTCCTGCTCCTGCTCCTCCTCCTCCTCCTCCTCCTCCTCCTCGAGGCATCGCAACTTGAGCATGAAGTGAAAACGGATCCTGAATGTAACGGGTCATGGACCCCGGGGCGCTCCCCATGGCCAACCTCTCATCCGGGTCGACCTTGACGGTCCCGGGGCCCTCGGAAGGCCCAGGGAGCCCGAAAACGGCGGAGAACCTCAGGACCCCGTTCCCTCAAGATCCGTCGGCTCCATGGCGATCGAGGATCGAGGATCTTCCTGCTCCTCCTCGGCTCGGCTCGGCTCGGTCAGGCAATCGGTTCGTTGTGCATCTAGATCTGGACCGAGAAGGGACAGGCAACAGAACGGTGAAACGCTATGTGCAGACGTGCGCATGCAGAGGAAGAGGGGAAGCAGGGCCCGCAAGCCCCAAACCACCCACAGAGTGCAGTCGGTTTATCCGACAGTCCTGTTGTGAAGGGCACAATCATCACTCCTCCTCCTCCTCCTCCCTCCTCCTCCTCCTCCTCCTCCTCCCTCCTCCTCCTCCTCCTCCTCCTCCTCCTCCCTCCTCGTCCTCCTCCGTCCTCGTCCTCCTCCTCCTCCTCCTCCTCCTCCTCCTCCTCCTCCTCCTCCTCCTCCTCCTCCTCCTCCTCCTCCTCCTCCTCCTCCTCCTCCCGTACCCTTCGTGGTGACAGCGGTTGACCGATCCTGGGCGGCCGGGAAGCGGCGGGAGGCACACGGCGGAGACGCCGAGCGGGACGATGGGGGTCTGGGCGCCGAGGTGTCGCGAGGGCCTTCGGGCCCCCTCGAAGTCCAGAATCCCGCCACGCTGTACAGACACCCTCGAGTCATGAAACAACCGCGACGGACATGTTTGTCACTGTCTTCGGTCTCTGGGGGGCCCTTCCCGGGCCTCGGGACCGTCAAAGAACCACTCAGGATAAAAAACCAGTCCTGGGGAATGGGTCGAGGCCTCTGGGGGTCGAGGTTGTGAACATAATCATGACGTCGGGGGATCCACTGCTCCCTGGCCTGGCCCATCCTGAACCCAGCAGCGGTGTATACGCCACGCCCTCGTGGCTTGGCCAGGAGGGCGAATGCACTGCTCCCGGGTTCAGGAGGGGCTTGGCCAGGAGGGAGCAGTGGATGATGCAAAGATTTCGTCGGCCGAAGTCCAGAGTCTCGCCACGCTGCGGCTTACTCGTCCAAGCTCGAGCCAGCGCGGCGGGGACGAAAAGCGGGCAGACGGGGGTCTGAGCAACGGGATGTCGCGAGGGACTTCTGCCCCTCACACTCCGAGTTTTTGCCACGCTGTGGCTGTCTCGTCCGAGCCAAAGCCAATCTGGCAGGAGGAGCAGCAGCAGCAGCAGCAGCAGCAGGGAGGGAGGAATGAGAAGGAGGGCGAGAAGGGGGAGGGAGGGAGGGAGGAAGGGAAGGAGGAGGAGGAGGAGGGAGAACATCGGGAGGACGGGGACGAGGCAGAGGAGGAGGGGAAGAACGAGGGGGGGGGGAGGAGAGAGCAGGGAGGGGAGAAGGGGGGGGGAAAGAAAAGAGAGGGGGCAGGGAAGGAGGGGGAAGGGAGAGGATAACAAAACAGGGATGTGAGGAGCGAGCGGGCAGGGGGGGGTGGCGGCAGGGGCGCGAGCGGGCAGGGGGGGGTGGCGGCAGGGGCCCCGCCTTCCTCGCCTGCCACATCTCGTACAGCACGAGAGCGGAGAGGACGGCCTGCGCAAGAGGCGTCGAGCACGAGAGGGGGCCCCCCCCCGTCCTGCTCGAGGGGGCCTCGATGAGGCGTGGGGTGAGCTCCGACGCCGCCGGCGTGCTGTTCCGCCCTGGGCCACGTTTGCCGTCGCGAGCTCTGTTGCGTGGACGCCCCACCCCCCCGCCTCAGCGAGAGGGAGGGGAGAGAACGAGGGGGAGAGGGAGAGGACAATGTGATGTGGGCTAGAGGCAGACAACCCTCAGATCCGTCGTAGCTCCAGAAGGTGCAGCATCGTGGAAAATCACGGCTGGAGCCCCAGACCCCATGTTTCTGCGCCAGTTGTCGACAGGGGTCGATCTGCGGGGGTCCAGGGGCCCAGTACCGGACGAAACCGCCCGGTATGAGAAGAATGCAAGGCTCCTCCTCCTCCTCCTCCTCCTCCTCCTCCTCCTCCTCCTCCTCCTCCTCCTCCTCCTCCTCCTCCTCCTCCCTCCTCCGCCCTCCTCCTCCTCCTCCCTCCGCCCTCCGCCCTCCTCCTCCTAGGATCAGAAGGAGGGAATAGAGGCTGCCCCAAAAGGGGGTCCGGATAGGTGGGGTCGGAAAATCGCGCCAAATTCGCCGGCATCGCCGATGCAAGCCACCAGGAACTCCCAGAGCTGGCCCCAACCGAGCCTTTCCACCCTCACGGACAAAGACCTCAGCCATTTCTAGAGGGCAGAAAATCCACCCCGATAATAACTGCCCCGACACGCGGAGCCGTTCAGCAAACGCACCCGAGGAAGGAATCGAACAGGGCAGGGCTGTTTAGTGAACGCCCAGGGCCGTTTAGTAAACGCCAATTGTCCGGTCCGGGTGGTTTTTCCTTCCTTGAACTTCATCCAGACGAGACCAGCTGCTGGAGCGCGGGGGGCTCGGCGGATGGACCAAGCCAATGTGCTCCCCGACGGCATCCTGCAACGAGCGCTGCCGGCCACGCAACGGACGGGTAAAGTGCCTGAGCCGCACCTCCACGTTCCCAACCCGCGCTTGCGGAAGGGAAGGGCGAACTCCCCGCGGACCGAAGGCTTCCGTCCGTGACGTCCATCTGGATGTACGCATGGGAAGCCCCAGCTTGCCGCAGCCTGGCATGTTGGAGAGCCTCCAGGACACGCCCTGCTCGTTTCCGGGCTCTCCCGCACGTGAGACCACCAGCGACATCAGCACAACGTGAACTAGCCCTCCAAATCGAATGTGCGCGGCACCTACAAATCCCGCTGGCGGGCGTCGCGCTGGACAGGCAACAATGCGCTGACGACTTGGCCACTGACATCCGTCTCTACCCGGGCCTCCACGCCAACTTAAAACAGGGCTAGGATCGGGATAAATCGCTCCAGAGCGTTCCGGAGCGCTCTCAGAGCGTTCCGCAACGCTCTGGAGCGGCCGCGGCGCCCAATACATCCTCCAAACCCGCCGATTCTCAGAGATTTCGAGTTGTCCCGATCCGATTTTGTCCCGAACTTCGCGTCGTTTTACAGCTGCCCGCGCGACGTTGCGCAGGTGCGGCGCCACCTCAGCGACGACCACGGCCGCTGCATTCTTGCAGGGGAGGCGCCCGCTCCCCGCCCCCTGCGGCAAACCCGCGGGCATCTCCGAGGTAGCTCTTTCCCCACTGGACGACATCCGGCCTCTCGCGCGCGAGTGGACGTACAGTCGGGGCGTTGACCTAAGGAACCCCAAGTAAGGAACGGGGCCCCTCTTTTCCACAGGTTAAATTTCGATCTCCCATCGAAAACATAAGGAAACCCTGAGGCAAGCTGTGAAACAATCAGGGAACACCGAGCCCCTCCCCAACGAAGAGGGTTCCTTCTCCAGGGCCCCGGCTGTAGCTTCCGCGCAGGTGCATCCCACACTCGCTCAGCAGCGCGTTCGTCGATGGCAGCAGCTCCACGGCCCCCGCGGCCCACGAGCTGCACGTCTCTCTCTCGACGAGACGATGCTGCTTGACAAACGGTCCGGCCAGAAAATTCACCCCGGGTCGTGGAGTGGGCCCCGGGGGAAGAACTGAACCTCGGCAACGCGCAGAGGGGGGTAGGGGGAGGGGGGAAGGCTTCTTAGAAGCACCCCTGCTTCTTAGAAGGTGCGGGCCTTCTCTCTAGACGTAAGGCCGAGGCCTTCTAAGAAGCAGGGTGCTTCTAAGAAGCCTTCCCCCCTCCCCGTATACCCCCTTTTGCGCGCCGCCAAAAAACCGCTGGGCCCCTGGGGAAGAACCGAACCCGGCGTCGGTCCAGGGCGCCCGCAGCGCGAGGGCGGGGACAGGCACGCGGCCCGAACTGTTGCGCCCTCCCCTTGCCTCCTCCCTGCTCCCCCACCCTGTGTTGCATCCTCGGGGGGCCTTATCTGTCCCGTCGCGCCGAGATCCACGTCGAATCCGTGCTGAATCCACATCGAATCCGCGTCGAACCCACGTCGGAGTGCAAGAAAAGACGGCCATTCACAGGACAGGAAGGGTCCCCCGAAGATGCAGAGTAACCCACCTGTTCTCCCCCAGGGTCCCTCAGCACCGGATCAGGAGATCGGATCGGGTCGGAACGCGCACCGAATCGGGCACAACGCCACGAGGGCCTCCTCCTCCTCCCTCCTCCTTCCTCCCTCCTCCTCCTCCTCCTCCTCCTCCTTCCTCCTCCTCCTCCTCCTCGTCCTCCTCCTCCTCCTCCTCCTCCTCCTCCTCCTCCTCCTCCTCACGGCGCATGCGAGAATCAGGCCGCGTCGGATCGCCGGAGAAATTACCTGGACCGGACCGGATCGGGCAGGCCGAAGCCGAGATCGGCCCAGATCGACCGGGTGGAAAAGGACCCCGCCCCCGCTCCCACTCTTCCATCCCTTCTCCCGTCCTCTCCCCTCCCCTCGCTGTGCCCGTTCCCCCGGTCCGCCGCCCCCTGCCCCTCCCTCTTTCAGGGGCGCCCGGCAGCCACGGAGATGGTCCGCACTGCGTAGCTCTTCCCAGCGGTGATCGAGTTGTCCAGAGGCCTCCGGACCTTCTCCTGACGGGGGAGACAAGCGCAAGCACGGGAGGGGCAGCACACGCAGGGCGAGGAAGAGCAGGAGGGCGAGATTCGAAGGAACCGCCGCGTGGCGCCGACTCGTGTCCAGCAGGGGCCCCGCGGTTCCCTCCTCGCTTGCCTGCACCGCTTTCCCCTTGGACCGCCTGCCGCCGCGGGGCAGCGTGCACTTCTGTGCTGCCCGCGCGCCAGTGGGCGCACGCGCTGGCTTGCTGGCTCGACGCGGCTCCAGGCCGCGGGCTAGGGGAGAGAGGAGGCCGACACGGGGCACAATCCATCCATACCTCCTCTTTGCGTGCACATCGGGGCGCCTGCCACCGCAAGGGTGCAAGATCCCCAGCCGGCCTGGGAAAAGGACGCCCCCGACGGCGGAAACGTCCCTCTGACCCCGCTCCTCGCCCGCGGAAGCCTGGGCAGGCGATCTCCTGGCGGCTCTGGCGCCATCGCTCTCGGGCCTCCCGCGGCCGTTCGGGACGATCTGGGCACCCTTGGCGGCGCGCACAAGGGGGTGGGGGGAGGGGGGAGGGCTCCTTAGAGGCAGGCTGCTTCCTAGAAGGCGTCGGCCTTTTATGTACATCTACAGATAAGGCCCGCGCCCTCTAAGAAGCAGGGGTGCTTCTAAGAAGCCCCCCCCCATCCCCCCAACCCCCCCTGCGCGTGGCTGACACCCCCCGAACGCTCTCAAACCGCCCGAAAAACCCTGTCCGACCCAGGCCGTAGCCGGATCGAATCGCGAACCGGGGTCGGATCGGAGACGGGTCGGGCCACCACCGGCGCGCATCGCGCCGCCCCCCTTCGAGACGGGCCAGGCCACCTTAAGCGCGGAGTGCGACTGTCTTCGCGCCCCCCACGGGTGACCTTGGAGATCATGGGCAGGCCGGCGGCCAGGCGAGGGGGGCAGGAAGATCGTGCCACCATGATTGCGAGAGCAACGCTCATGCACCGTGCCCCGCTTGGGCTCCCTGCATGCCTCGCTCCGATGCGGCACGGCGCATAGCTTTCGGCTCGTGAGGCCGAGAAGCTGTGCGCCGTACCGTTCCTGGGTCGAGGATCGACGACGCCTCCGGGTACGCCAACGCGGTACGGTGCCTAACCGAGGGAGGTCTTTAGTCTTGCACCCACCCACCCGTTTCTCTCGGCGGGGAAGAAACTCCGTCCCTCCTCCTCCTGCTTCTCCTCCCCTCCTCATCCTTCTCTTCCTCCTCTCTCCCTCCTCCATTCCTTCTTCTCCTACTCCTCCTCCTGCTCCTCCTCCTCCTCTTCCTCCTGCTCGTAGTCGTAGTCATAATCTTAGTCTTAGACGTAGCCGTACGCGGATCGTGGTCGTAGTCCAAACAAATTGCGCGGACCTCGGGAATCTGACTTGGGGTCCAAAACCAGATAGCAAGGCCGCAGAAGCTCTTGGAAGGTCCTTCGAAGGAGCTTCTGGAAAGCTCTGTAAAGGAGCTTCTGGAAAGCTTGACGGCACAACCATTGGGAAACAATTAGACAAGGCCTGCCGGAACACGCTGCGACCTCGCAGGAACTCTTCTGCGAGGTGTCCTGCCGGAAGCTGGAACGATCCCAGGGGCTACCCTGCGGTGCTCGCTTCTGATATGAAGCCCCTTGAGTTCTGACAGCGAGCTCTCCGGGAATGCTTCTGGCTTTCGTTTCTTCGCAACGACGGCGCTCCCAACGATGCACGAAGCCCCCTCGAGCCCCTGTGGCCCCGACAGCGCATAGGCCTGCGTACCCGAGGGGCGCCAGAGGAACAATCATGAGGAAGGAGGAACAATCATGAGGAACAACCAGTGAGGGCCTGGGGAGCAGTGCCCTGACTGCAGCTGGGGTCTGATCCGGCCTCGCCTGGGACACCCGCGGCGCATGTCAAGCGAAACGGCCCGCCTGGCACAACTGCGTACACCCTGCGCCGCCCTCCTCTCCACCGCCTTCCATCTCCCCCCTCCTTTCCTCCCTCTATCCCTCTGCCTGATGGGGCGGGTGTAACTCTCGGAGGTCGGGGGCGGTGATCGCAGTGGAGCGGAGAGTCTCCCGGCGGGCCATCGGTTGCGGTGTCGTGCTCGTGCTCGTGCGGTGCGGGCGAGGCGAAGAGGCGTGGGCGCGCCAGGAATGACCCCGCCTTGCTAGGGCGACCCTGACCTTCCAGAGAGCTACTTTTTAGCACGAGAGGCCTAAAAACCTAAACAGCGAAACGAAACAGCCTAAAACCAAGACATAGAATAGCTCTGGGATAGGTTTTTAAGTCGCGTGCTATTTTTGTTGCCTTCTGGAAGGTCAGGGGAGTCGGATGCAAGCTGCTGGCCCTCCGGTGGGCGCACGGTGGCTCACGGTGTCACGATGGTGCCCCGCGGTGCCTCGCCGTGGGCGCGCGAGAGGCCGCCCGTCGCTGGGGCGAGTCGGATGCCAGAGTCCGGCCCTCTGGTGTGCGCGCGCTGGCCGGGGGTGTCCAGCGGTGGTGGCCCCGCGTTGCCCCGGCTGGTGTCCCTCGCCGTCCCGCCGTGGCATCCCGATGGTGTCTCGCGGTGTCCCGCGGTGTCCCGTGGTGCCCCGCGGCGTCCAAGTGGTGTCCCGCGGTGTCCCGTGGTGGTCAGTGGTGTCCAGTGGTGTCCCGCGGTGTCACGGGTGAAGCATCGTCATCATCACAACCATCGCAGTTGCCAGCACTTGGTTCTTTCCCCTCCCCCAAGCCTCACCCGAAGGGTGGTCGTACATATAGGTATTGGTAAGTGTCCTGAGAAAGGAACTCCGAAACAGAGTGGGTTTCCGCGCGCCGTGTCATGGTCCTGCGCGCGAAAAGTTTTCGAGACCGTCTAGGCACTGGCAAGCATCCTTCCCTGGGCGGTCCCTTGGGACCCTCCTCCCCCTCCAACTCCTCCTCAACCGTTTCCCCCTGCTCCTCCTCCTCCTCCTCCTCCTCCTCCTCCTCCTCCTCCTCCTCCTCCTCCTCCTCCTCCTCCTCCTCCTCCGCCCTCTCCTGCTCCTCCTCCCTCTGTTCCATCCTTTTCTCCTCCGCAACCTGGCTTTAACGTCAACCTCCAGCTCCCTGAAACTGGCGGCAGAGGTGGGGGTCAGCTTGTGTTTGCCAGCCCCCTCTCTCAGAGGAGGAGCAGGGGGAGGAGGAGGAGGACGACGACGAGGAGGACGAGGATGGGGAGGAGGAGGTGTGGGATGATGTAAGATAGGGATTGTCGAGGCGGACTCCCCCTCAATCTACTCCATCTCATCCTCCTCCCCCTCCTTCTCCTCCTCCTCCTCCTTCTGCTCCTCCTCCTCGTCCTCATTCTCCGGGGTGTCGCCGTTGTTGTGCCGCCCTGTGGCGTAAACTCACCAACTCGGGTCTCTGTCGCTGCTCTAGGGTTAAGTTGTGCCTCCATTCTCCCCCGCGCTCTCCAACCCATCCTGCCACCGAAATCGGCGCGCTCGTTCATCTGGGCCTGCCCTCCCCCTCCTCCTCCTCATCCTCCTCCTCCTGCGCCTACTCGTTATCGTCCTCTTCCTCCTCATCCTCCTCCATTCCCCACCCCCACCTCCTCCTCCCTCCTCCTCCTCCTCCTCCTCCACCTCCTCCTCCTCCTCCTCCTCCTCCTCCTCCTCCTCTCTCATCATCATCATCATCATCATCATCATCACATCATATCATCATCATCATCATCATCATCATCATCATCATCATCATCATCATCATCATCATCAGCATCATCATCATCATCATCATCATCATCATCATCATCATCATCATCATCATCATCATCATCATCATCATCATCATCATTATCAGCATCAGCATCATCATCATCATCATCATCATCATCATCATCATCATAATCGTCATCATCATACTCGTCATCATCATACTCGTCATAATCGTCATCATCATCATCATCATCACCGGCATCATCATCACCACCAACACCATCATCATCATCATCATCATCATCATCATCATCATCATCATCATCATCATCATCAATCTCATCATGATCATCATCATCATCATCGGAATCATCGCCATTATCATCAATATCATCATGATCATCATCATCATCATCATCATCGTCATCATTATCATCATCATCGTCGTCATCATCATCGTCGTCATCATTATCATCACCATTGCCATAACCATCACCATCACCATCGACATCGCCATCATCATCAGCATCACCATCTGTGTCAGCAGCAGCATCATCATCACTATTACCATCGCCATCGCCATCGTCGTCATCAGCATCATCTTTGTCAGCAGCGGCATCATCATCACCATCACCATCCTCAGCAGCAGCAGCATCACCACCACCATCGCCATCACCATCACCATCACCATCATCATCATCATCATCAGCATCATCACCATCGTCATCGCCGTCGTAATCGTCACTGTCATCATCACCAGCATCAGCATCGCCAGCATCAACATCAACAACACCACCATCACCAACATCATAATCATCATCAGCACCATAAGCATCATCATCATCATAATCATCACCATTAAAATCCTCATAATCACCGTCATCATCATCATCAGCATCATCATCATCATCATCATCATCATCATCATCATCATCATCATCATCATTAGTATCAGCATCATCAGCTTCATCATCATCATCATCATCATCATCATCAGCATCACCATCATCATCATCATCATCATCATCATCATCATCATCATCATCATCATCATCATCATCATAATCATCACCATCATCACCACCATCATCATCACCACCACCACCATCATCATCAACAGCATCATCATCAGCATCATCATCAGCATCATCATCGTCGTCAATATATGGGGTCAGGCGTGTGAGGATCGTCCATGCACCACAGCCTCGCGCCCCCTACGGAGCTGATCAGCAGAACCACAGGGCATTCAAGAAAGCCGCATTTCCCATATTTTTTCTCAGTGGACGGGGGGCGACAGCCCGCCCGGGTGCCGGCGACAGGACACACCCGTCCTCCCCCCCTTGGCCCTCCTCCTCCTCCTCCTCCTCTTCCTCCTCCTCCTCCTCCTCTTCCCCGTCCTCCTCCTCCTCCTCTCCTTCCTCCTCTTCCCCCTCCTCCTCCTCCTCCTCCTCCTCCTCCTCCTCCTCCTCCTCCTCCTCCTCCTCCTCCGCCCCTCCTCCTCCTCCTCTTCTCTTCCTTTTCCTCCTCCTCCTCCCTCATCGCCTCCTCCTCCTCCTCCGCCTCCTCCTCCTCCTCCTCCTCCTCCTCCTCTCTCCTCCTCCTGCTCGTCCTCCTCGGACTCCTCTCCTCCTCCTCCTCCTCCTCCTCCTCCTCCTCCTCCTCCTCCTCCTCCTCCTCCTCCTCCTCCTCCTCCTCCTCCTCCTCCTCCCCCCGCCCCCGCAGTCCTCGCATGACTTGTCGAGGGGAGACTTGTAATTGTTCCGTTTTGCTTGCGGCAAACATGGCGGCTCCAGCCCTGTGCGGATCCCAGGGGCATGAGAAGTAATGCGTCTTGGAGAACTCAAGTAGGTCGGGACAGCATGCGCCAGTCAAGCGATTGTTGAAGGGACTACCGGACTACCGCCTGGATGTGGTGTGACTGATCGGGGCCACTCCTTCGGCAAAAGAGGGGAGAGTGCCGCATGGTGCCGCCGCTGCCCGGATCAACATTGTATCTTTTGAAGGCGGCGGACATACCTGTGAGGTCTTCCCTGGGCCCCAATCTCGGCTTGATGATCTTCGCGGCCCGAGCTGTCCATAGCATCGTATATTCTGTGTCGAGCGATCCCCGCCCCAGAGCGCGAGGCGGGATACCCAGGGAAGACCGGCCGCAGCATGCGGTCGTCATTCGCCGAACGCGCGAGGCAGGACACCCAGGGAGCGCCGCGACCGTGGAGGCTTGGCGACCGCGGTGGGCAGGGTGTGCGAAGCGGGTCGGGGGCACTCCTCTTCCCATCCAGCATACTGACCCTGCCGGCCGGTGGAGAATCCTTCTCTCGGCGCGGCTCTGGCGAGCGGGCGCCTCCTCAACGGGTCGGGGGAAGTGCCCGCCCCGAGGCGCGAGGTCAGCGCCGCCCCATCGAACGACGGAGCGCGTCGGTTCGGCGCGGGGGCGGGACCCGTCGCCGCGTCCAGGCGCCTTGGCCCATGCCGGCGTTCCGTTTGATCCTCGGCACCCCACACGACGGTGCCTTCAGTGCTTCAGGCACCCCCCCCGCCCGCGCGCGCGGGCGGGGGGGCGGGGGCGGAGCGCGCCTGCGTGAGCCGGGGCGCGCGCGGGCGGTCGTCGTCGTCGTCGTCGTCGTCGTCGTCGTCGTCGTCGTCGTCGTCGCCGTGGGCGGCGGCGGCGGGGGTCGGCGGGCGGCAGCGGAAGCGCCGCCCCAAATGGGCTTCCTGAAGCGTCCGCGTGTCCGGGTGGTCCTCCCCGTGCGCCAGGATGCTGTTCTCGAGCGCCCGCTTCACCTCGGGCGCCCTCCGCCGTGCCTCCCCTTCCTCCTTCGTCGGCCTCTGCGCCTGCTGTCCCCGGCCACCTCTTCCCTTCTTCCTTGCCTCACCTCCTCGTCCTCCTCCTAACTAGTCCTCCCCTTAGTCCTCCTCCTCCTCCTCCTCTTCCGCCCCCTTCCCTCTCCTCCTTTTCCCTCACCTCCTACCCTCCTCCTCTCCTCCTCCTCCTCCTCCCGCCTCCCCTTCTCCTCCCCTCCTCCTCCGTTTATTTCTCGTCCTCCTCCTCGTCCTCCTCCTTCACCTCCTCCTCCTCCAAATTACTTTTTACTTTTCCTCCTCCTCCTTCCCCTCCTCGTCCTCCCCTCCCTACTCCTCCTCCTCCTCCTCCTCTCTCTCCTCCTCCTCCCTCCTCCTCCTCTTCCTGCTCCTCCTCCTCCTCCTCCTCTCCTCCTCCTCCTCCTCCTCCTCCTCCTCCCTCCCTCCTCATCCTCCTCCTCCTCCCCCTCCTCTCTTCTCCTCCTCCTTCCTCCATTCCCCTCCCTCCCTTCCTCCTTTCTCCTCCCTCCCTCCCGTCCTCCTCCTCCTCCTTCCCTTTTCCTCTCCGGGCTGCGGCCTGCTCCCCAGGGCCCAGTGCTGCGGGAGAACGCCCCGCCCCCGCGTCGATAACGTGCAGGCCCTGCTGGGTGGTGGCGCACGGCGCGGGGTGGTCACGTTACTCCGTGGGGTACAGCCAACCCGCAGAGTAAGGATGCGCGATGAGGATGCAAGGCCCTTGGAAGCCCATTTCGAAGCTCTTCGAGCGGGGCGCGGCCAACGAACGTGGCGAAGGATGGACCCAGGAGGCAAGGGTGCAAGGGTACCCTTGGGAGGGATGCCCATCTTTACTCTGCGGGTCGACTGTGCAACCACTGACGGATAGCTCAACGGATAACTCCCTCCCTCCCCCGCTCGCTCACACCAGGCACGCCACTCGCCGCCTATCCACGAAACCCGCCGCCCCGGCCGCTCGGGCCCCGGCAGCGCCCCCCGGGCTGCCAGGGCCGGCGCGGCGGGAGGAGCGGACCGCGCTGCGCGGCAAAAGCGAGCCAGCCGAGAGCCCGCAGGGCGCAGCTGCCAGGCGCGACCGGGGTCTGCTGCGCCGCGGCCCGCGCAGGAGGAGGAGGAGGAGGAGGAGGAGGAGGAGGAGGAGGAGGAGGAGGAGGAGGAGGAGGAGGAGGAGGAGGAGGAGGAGGAGGAGGAGAGGAGGAAGCGGCGCCGGCCTCGAGGCGCCCTTCGCGCGAAGGCCGCTCGAGGCCGGCGCGCAGCGCGCGGAGGCGGAGCGCCACGCCGCGCCCCGTGCCCGGCCCGAGAGCTCCCCGAAGCCGCCGCCGCGGCGTGCGCAGCGAGCGCCCGCGGGCCGAGCCCGCCGAGCGGCGCTCCCTCGCGGAGGGGGGCCGCTCGTCGTGCCTCGCCGCCGCGAGCGGCCTCCGCGGGCAGCCTCGCGCGGGCGCCCGAGGCCGCGCGGCGGAGGGCGAGCAGAGCCCGTCGCGTCGGGCTCTAGAGGCAGCGCCCCCGGAGGCCAAGCACACAGCGCACGGCAGCTGGCCATCCTCAAGCCTGTGATCTGTAATGAGGTGATCTGGCTTGTGGCCAGCGGCACGTGTGAGCTTTCGCCGGTCTCGCCGGCTCTTCGGACTGGCCTGGGCAAGAACAGCTGCGGTACGGCCCTCCCTCTTGCCTTGCCAGCACGCGCGCGCGCAGGAGCGACGGGGGTGAAGACGTCCATGATGCGGTCCGCGAGCTCGCCCTCGCAGCAGACGCACAGCTTTGGGGCACAGCGCTCGGCATCCACGGATGCGCTGGCCCGTTCCAACTGCTGGCGCGACATGGCGGTAACGGAATTGTGACAGCGAGTTCGTCCAGTACGACCCTTTGGACAGACGCCAGGATGATGCAAATGGACGTCAGGTGGTGTCCACAAGGTTCAGCATCACTGGTGCCGCGCGTAGAGCATGTCAGACCCCTCTGGGATGATGCAAATGGACGTCAGGTGGTGTCCACAAGGTTCAGCATCACTGGTGCCGCGCGTAGAGCATGTCAGACCCCTCTGAGGCAGAGTTGCCCATCCGAGCCGCCTGCGCGTGCGCGTGGCCCATGCCCACTGCGCATTTGAAGTGCGAAGTGTTGGGCGCGCAGGCGCTGTGCTCCAGAGGCTGCCACGCCTTTCACCCCCCCTGAACGGCACGGATGTCTTGCGGTGGACCGGCATGACGGCATGCAGCTCCGCCGTACGCACATCATCCGAGCCCGCGCGCTGTTCCGCCGCACTCCCGGCAGCGCGCAGTGCCCACGGCGGCCAGCGGCGCGGCGCCTCCCTCCTGCGCTGCGGCCGCACGGGGGAGGGCCCGGACGAGGGACACCGAACCCCTCCGCAGCGGGGGCATCGCGGCACCCGGGGCCCTCCTCAGACCGGCGCCGGGCAGCCAGCGTGAACGCAGGCGAACGCACTCCTCAGGCCTCCGCCGAGCAGCTCGCCCGCGGCCGCTGCAGCAGCAGCGGCGTCCTGCGCAGCGCACTGCAGCGGGCGCCCAGGCTTCGCCGACAGCCTCGACACTGCCCGCCGACGCGTGACCTCGGCCTGCGTGGGAGGCCGCTGCCGCGCGGAGCTTGCACGGGAGCGCCAGCGTGAGGCCCCCCCAGCGGGCCTGGTGATGTCGCCTGTTCCCGAGCCTGCACCTCAACCGGCCCCCCAGCGATCTCCCCCTCACGGTGCGGAAGACCCCGCTTCTCGGAGCCAAGGTGCATGGGCCTCCAGGTGTCGCCGCCGGGGGGCACCGGAGCTGCCAGCAGCAGCCGTGAACTCCTCCCCCTCCCCATCCTCCGTGGCGCTGTGGGCGATGGGCGGAGGAGGGCAGGGCCTCTCTTCCCCAGGCGTAACTCGAACCACTCGACGCGCCCCCTCCAGGTCGAGCCGGCCCCAAGGGAGGTCGCCTCTCTGCCCGGCCCCTCCGCGGCCGGGCGGGCTTGACCCTCAGGGTCCCCAGCTCCCTCGGCCGCCGCCTCTCCTGCTGCCGCGAGATGGCCTCGGGGACCCCTCGCGGGGTCACGCACCGCGTCCGTGACGGTGGCGACGCCGCCTCCGTCTCCTCGAGCGCCCTGTCCTCGGCCTCCCTCCCCTGAGATCCTGGCGACTCGATTCTTTCGAGCGGGCCCCGGGGCCCTCACAGATCGATCCGGCCCGAAAAGGGACGCAGAGAGATGGGGTCCGGGGTTCCGGGCGCGGATTTCCACGACGCTGCAATTTTTGTCGCTAGGTCGGCTCTCAGGGTCCTCCTGCGGCACCTCGCCCAGAGGCGCTGGCTGCGCAGGGGCCGTCCAGGGCGCGGAGGGCTGCGCGGCCGGCGCGCTCCAGGCCGTCGTCGGCGGCGGCCCGCCGCGGGGCCCCGTGCGGGGCAGCGGGAGGGCCATGGGAGGGGCTCCCCCGCCAGCCTCCTGGGCTGGCCATCGCTCGGACGTCCATTCCAGGTGTTTTTTTCGGTGTCGTGCGCGGTTCTTTCGCCAAAAGATCGAGGATGCTCCTCGATGGTCCTCGCCGAGGAAAAAAAGCACACGTCCGAGCGATGCCAGGCAGGAGGGCTGAGCGCACGCCTTCCATCCCGACGGGGACCACGGTGTGCCGTGCGCCCGTGCGCGAGCCACGCCCAGGCCGCCGCGGGAGGCACCGAGAGGCGGGCGCCCCTGCCACCGAGGAGGCACGGTGGGCCACGGCAGCAGACGACTCCGAGGCCGGCGCAGCTGAACATGCTGCCCGCCACGGCGATGGCGACGTGCAGCTGCCACCGGGCCGCGCAGAGTTGAGCACCGCCGCCACCATCACGTTGAGCAGCCTTCTCCATCCGCTCCTTCGCTGTCTCGGAGGCTGCTGCACCCGCCGCGCCAGCCTCCGTCGCAAATCCGCCCGCAGCTTCACGCACATCTGGATCTTGGGCTGCTTGCAGCACCCACCACGTCTGGCCACCTCCAGCGGCGCCTGCACAGGCGAATGCAGCCAGCGGCATGCCCTGTGCGCCACAGCGAGCAAGGAGCAAGGGCCATCTGGCGCGCCGGGAAGGAGTGGAGAAGCAAACGGGAAAGGGGGGAAAGAGAAAAGGTGAGGAGACCCCTTGGCCCCTTCCCTCCTACCCTCTTCTCATCCGCCCTCCCTTCTTCCTCGCCTCCTCCCTCCCTTCCTCCCTCCCTCCCTTCCTCCCTCCCTCCCGCCGCCGCCGCCGCCGTCGTCGTCATTGTCGTCGTCGTCGTCGTCGTCGTCGTCGTCGTCGTCGTCGTCGTCGTCGTCGTCGTCGTCCGTCGTCGTCGTCGTCGTCGTCGTCGTCGTCATACCACCACCACCATCTCTCTCTTTTCCTTTCTCCCTCCTCCCTCCCTCCCTCCCTCCCTCCAAAAAACCCTTAATATGTTCTGGGGACGCGTGGGGGCTGCGCACGATCGCCGCCCGCCCTCGTGTACAGAGGCAGCACTGCATTAGGCGAAGCCTGTTTGGGGACAAAACCTGCCTCCTCCCACTGGCCCTCCTCCCGTCCTCCTCCACCGGCGACGACAACTACGACGACTTCGGCCACGACCGCGGCAACAACGACGGCGGCGGCGACGGACGACAACAGTGACGGACGACGACGAAGGCAAGGGGCAACAACAAAGGCGATGGACGACGACGGCAACAACAGTGACGGCGACGACGACGACGAGACGAAGGCGACGACGACGACGACGACGACGACGACGACGACGACGACGACGACGACGACGACGACGACAGCGACGACGACGACGACGACGGACCGGACGAGGTCTGAGGGCGAGGACGACGAGGACGACGAGAACGAGGACGAGGACGAAGACGAGGACCGGGAAGACGACGACGACGACGACGACGACGACGACGACGACGACGACGACGACGACGACGACGACGACGACGACGACGAAAAGGGCGTCCGTGGGCCGCCGAACGCCTCCGAGGGTCGCCGAGGTCCGCCAAAGGCCTCCTCCCAGGGGCCGCCGAAGGCCTCCGCGGGCCGCCCCGGAGCCTCCCGGAGCCGCCGGGGGCCTCCGAGGGCCACCGAAGGCCTCCATGGGGCGCCCTCCCCCTCCTCACTTGGCAGATCGGGCAAGGAGGATGAGGAGGAGGAGCAGGAGGAGCAGGAGGAGCAGCAGGAGGAGCAGGAGCAGGAGGAGGAGGAGGAGGAGGAGGAGGAGGAGGAGGAGGAGGAGGAGGAGGAGGAGGAGGAGGAGGAGCTGCAGGAGCAGCAGCAGGAGGAGCAGCAGGAGGAGGATCGACATCGGTGCGCCCCCCGCGCCTGCGAAGTCGACCTCCCTGAGGAGGCGCCCCGAGGCCGGCTCTCCCGCCGCCAGGGCCGCCGAGGGCCGCCGACGGCCTCAGAGAAGCGTCGCCCGGTGAGCGCCCAGTCGGCGGCTGAGCCCAGCGCCCAATGGCGCGCCTCCAGCTGCCTGTCGCCGCCCAGCAGCAGCGACATCTCGTAGGCGGAGTAGCAGTGCCACTTGCGGAAGCTGTACAACCTCCGCCGAGGGAACAAGCGGAGGATTCGATTCTCGGAAACTGACCACGGCCAGTTCTGCGCCTAGTAGACGCGCAGGACCCGCCTGACCCAACGGATTCGTTTGGCGAGCTACTGCGCGTGAAATCCCCCCTTTCCCCAAATCCATAGCAAGCCCTGTGATTTGCGGAGGGTGGGTCAGGGTTTGGGCGCGTGTCCGAACTCACCGTGTGGGCATCAAATTTGGACCCCGACGGACTACAGCACATGACTTTTCCTGCCAAGCGTGCGGATATAATGTTGTGTCAGGGCCGGAGACCCTGGCAGGACTGTATTAAACGTCGCAGCCTAAAAGAATGTCCTGATTAAAATATCCAGGCAAGTCTTTTCAAAACGACTTCCATCATGAGCCCCACCAAGTCCCCCCAGGCAAGTCCTCTTCAGACAGGTCCTCTTCAGCAACCTTGGGCGTTGCATATCATGAGTTTTACCACGACGGGTGATTTTACATGTCTCCCTCGCCGATACCAGGCGCTCAACGCACGCGACGCTCGTCCCGAGCAACGATATGAACGACGGGAAGACAAAGGAAATGCATGTGCACGGCCAGATTGACCCAGTCAGACGAGTCAGCGGGCCCCGGCCGTCACCACCCTCCTCCCGCAACATACAACAGCCGAGGGCGGCGCAACTTGCCCCTGGGACTGGCGAGGGTTCCCCGCACAGCGAGCGGAAATCGGTCGCGCGCGGCCCTGCAAAAGGAGGGGGAGAGGAGGGGGAGGAGGAGGGGGAGGAGGAGGAGGAGGAGGAGGAGGAGGAGGAGGAGGAGGAGGAGGAGGAGGAGGAGGAGGGGGAGGAGGAGGGGGGTCGCGCGCGGCCCTGCTCCCGCGCGACGGCAAAAGAAAAAACGCGCAAAAAGGCGCGTCCGGAACCTGCAGGAATTCCTTGCGCGCCGAGGCGGCGAGAGCGCACCTTTTGGCCCTCCGCCGCGCGGCCACGTTCCCCGCCAGGGGCAGCGAAGGCGAAACGAATTCGCCGCGCTGGAGCAGCCCCGCCGCTTTCACGCAGAAGCTGTGCTGCGCTCTGGCGGGAACCGTACACCATAGATCGCCGGCCCTCGCGGCGCCCCGCCGCCACCGCCGATGCCCCGCGGCTCGGCGGCCGACGAGAAAACGCGCGCGGAAACGAGAAGGCCGCGCCCGGCGAAATCTGCACGGGCCGTGGGCGAAGGCGGCAATTCGCGCGCTCGCGCGCGGCCTCAGGCCTTGCGACGTGGCGAATGAAGACCACGCACGCGCGCCCATGCCGGAGTGCCACTTTCACGCGAAACCGGCGTGGAGCCAGAGCAATGGCGGCATGTCGCTCCATTCCACCCGTTTCTCGCGCGACCCTGCTGTCGACCAGTGTGCCAGCAAACACCGCGTGCCCCGCCCGAGCGGGAGCTCAAGTCTCGTGAACATGAGGGCGGCGCCGACGCGAGATCGACATGTCGCCTTTTCGCGCGCCATGTGCGCCCCGTCCCACTCCAGCCGCGAATCTTGCAGCGTCGACATCCACGCTCCTCCCCCCCCCACACACCCCGTGCTGGGGTGGGGGAGGGGGGGGATGTGGGGAGGGGGGGCGAGCGACAGGGGCACGGACAGGAACTCCACAGGGAGACCCCAGCCGCGGCAAGCACCCATCAGGTGGTGCCCATTCGGCGGTCGAACGGGCTCAGGCGCCGAATGGTCTCAGCAGTAAACCCTGGAGTATACTCCCGCAGAGCTCCTCCTCCTGGGCGCGTTCGGACCAGGACCCGTGGGAGAATCCGACCGCTCCAGCCCCGGAAACCAGGGGCGTCCTCTCGGCCCCCTCTCCCTCCGGATGCACTCCGTGCTGGGGTGGGGGAGGGGGGGGAATGTGGGGAGGGGGGCGAGCGACACGGGCGCGGACAGGAACTCCACAGGGGCGTGCAGGAAACCCGGCGAACGGGCACGGCCACCAACTCCACAGGGGGCGTGCAGGACCCCCGGCGAGACCGCGGCGCCCGCGCCCTACGGCGGCCGCCCGCGGCCGGCTCCTGCGCGGCAGCCGCCCCTCCGAGAGGCGGCAGCCCGTGCCCCGCTCTGGCAGCCGGCGGCCTGCTGCGGGGGCCGCCGGCGCGACTCCTCCGCCTCGGAGGCGTCGGAGGCGTCACCTGCGTCGGCTCTGGCCTTAAGTCGGGCGTGTCCCCCTACAGGGGGATCCTCGACGAAAAATTAAGAATATTCAAAAAATATTCCAAAATGGCCACAACATACTCAAAAAATAGTCCCCGCTCTGGCAGCTGGCGCTTGCTGCGGGGGCCGCCGGTGCGACTCCGCCTCGGAGGCGTCGGAGGCGTCACCTGCGTCGGCTCTGGCCTTAAGTCGGGCGTGTCCCCCTACAGGGGGATCCTCGACGAAACATAAAAAATATGCAAACAATGCTCCAATAAAAAATACTCAGAAAATATTCCCAAATGGTCAAAAATATTCCAAAAATAGTCCCCAGACTATTTTTTTACCATTTTTGAACATTCCCCCTGTAGAGGGACAGGCCCGACTTCAGCGTAGGAGACGTCACCTGCGTCGGCTCTGGCCCCCTGTTGCGGACGCCACCGCTCAATCGCCCCTGGCACACCAGCCTCGGGGAGGCAGGGGGGGCCGAGGGAGGAAGGAAGGGGACGGAAGGCGGAAGGGTGGCGCAGAGGCAGGATCACTCAGCATCGAATCGGGAAGTCGGATCGACTCGGGATGTGCGTCGGGTCGGGCTGCATCGGCGCGGAGACCCAGTCGCATCGGATTGGCCGCACCAGGGTACGCAACAGCGCCATGCAAACACTGGGCAAAAACGGATCGCCGGCATTTCGGCATCGAACCGGATCGAGCGGGCCACAATGGACATCGGCACCGAGTCGAATCGGATCGAATCGAGGCGGACGAGGGAGATGGCGGAGGGCGGCGCGGGGGGAGGGGAGGAGACTCCCGACTGCTGGCGCCGCCGAGCGAGCGGAGGCGCCCGAGGCCCTCATCCCGGTACAAGTTCAGCACCTCCTTCACCTTCGCGATGCCCTTGTCCGGCTCGTTCTGAAACCTGGACTTGCGGGCCGTCGTCGTCGTCGTCGCCCTCCTGCTCTGCACTTCTGCCTTCGCCTCTGCAGGTGCGCGCCGCATTTTTCCACCGCAGAGGAACTGGAAATCCGCTGCCCCTCAGGAGGGCTAATTATCCCAATAGTGAGACCAAGCCCGAACCACGCCCGCGCACAGCACCCACGAGTTAAAAGCGAGTCGCACCGCGAGGGAAGAATTCAGAGGCAATCTAAACAGAGGTGCGCGCTGCATCTTAGACGAACCACATGTGTACTAGAGTTTCGATGCGCAAATGCGCAGATCTACATACACGTATGCGCCACCGTGCCTTCGGCACGTCGTGGAGTGCCCCAGTCGTGCAGCTCCGCGAGGTCCAGGGCTTGTCCTTCGTGAGGGTTCTCAAGGGCTCGGTTCCGTGATGTTGCGTTTGAACGTGGCTGTTCACAGTCAGTAGCTGTTTTGGCTCAGAAGAAGCTGAGCAGGCCTTAAGGCTGGTGCCTAGCACGCAACCGCTAAGCCTCTGAGGCAGAAAAACATCCGGCTGACCCTCTCTCGCCCATTCTTTCGAGCTTGTCCTTCGTGATGGTCCTTAAAGAGCCCGGCCCCCCCCCAGGGTTTCCCGGGCGATCCCATGCGCCGCTGCGCCCTGCCAGGGCGTGTCGCCTGAGCTTTTAGGGGGCGCAAGGAGGGCCCCAAGACGGGCCACGGGGACCCCAAGAGGCCCCAGAGATGGCCGAAGAGGGCCCCGAGTCGTCGAAGGATCGGTCCAAGACGCTCAAGACGGCCGCCACACGGCCGAAGGTGGCCCCAAGAGGGTTCCAAGAGGCCTCCCCCACAAAGGCACAAATCATTGATTTCCTTGGGTGTTCGCAAGATTTGGACGCTCTCGCCGTTGCGGCCCCCCGACGCTCCAGGACGGCCCAAGAGGTACCCCCCCCAAAAGGCCCACAAGAGGCCCCAAGGAAGCCCGAAGAGGCCCCCAGAAGGCTCCCCAAAGGCCCCCCACAGGCCCCCGAGAGCCCCCCAAAAAACTGTCCTCAAGAGGCTCCCGAGGACGCCCCCAAGAGACCCCCATCCGCGTCGGATCCGTATCGAACGCGCCGAGCTCGCGTGCACTCCGTGCCCAACTCACCTCGGCTCCGCGCCGAACCCCACGCTGGACCACGAGAGAAGACCGCCGTGCACAGCACAGGGAGAGGCCCCCCCCCCGCAGCTGCAGAGCAGAACCCGCCGAGCGCCTGCCGCGATCTCGGCCCAGCTGCCGTGCCCTTCACCTCTTCAGCACGGGGGCCCCTGCACGGCCCGAACCTCTCCCTGGGGCCGGCTCTCCGCCCCGAGGCGCAGTCCGCCGGTCCCGGGCAGGGCTCGACCCGGACGGCGTTGTCGTGTTTTCGTGCCGTGCTCGTTTCCCTCCGTTCTGCTTCCAGTGCTTTCCCGCTGCGATGGCTCCCTTCGCTCTCGTGCCGTGTCTGCGTGAGGGCCTCCTCCGCTTCCGTGCTGTGCTCGTCTTCCTTCGCTCTGCCTCCAATCCGCCTTCTGCGGCGACACGCGATCCAAAACGACAGCGGCCCGCGAAATCGCGAACAACACCGTCTAGGGCAGGGAGGAGGAGGAGGAGGAGGAGGAGGAGGAGGAGGAGGAGGAGGAGGAAGCCACGGGCTGAGGAGAGCGGGGCCAGCCGTCGTCGTCGTCGGCCCGCCCCCTGCCCCTCGTGGCCGCGCGCCGCGGCGGTTGCAATCGGCAGCCGCTGCAGCCGCACGCCCGCGGGCGCCGCCGAGCTGCCGCCCCCTCGGGCCGCCACCTGCGAGGAGGCGGCGAGCGCGGACGCCTGGCCCCCGCCAGGCCGCGCTGGAGGCGGCCGCCACGCCGCGCACCGTCGGCGAGCCGGCCTGGCACCGCCGCGCCAGGCAGCAGCGCGCAGAGGCCAGGGTGCTGCTGAGGGTCTGTTCGGCGGCGCAGGTGCTGGACCAGCACCACTCCGCACAGAAGCACCAGTGCAACCAGCAGTTCCAGCGCCACCAGCAGAACGAGATGGCGCAGCAGTGGACATTGGGACCGCCTGTCGGAGCGCAGCCCTGGCCATGGAGAAGGCAGTCGCGTGGCAGGTCGACGGCCAACAACCAGAACAACCACAACCACCAGAAGAACGACCAGAGCTGGCAGCAGGACCGCGACAACCACCAGAAGGACCACCAGAAGGACGACAAGAGCTGGCAGCAGGACCGCAACAGCCACCGCCAGCAGCACCAAGGCGAGGACACATACAAGAAAGGATCACGAACTCGCTCCACACCTCGCACAACGACACGGACGCAGAGCAGGAAGCACTACAACGCGCACAACTTCTTCGACGGCTTCCAGTTCTCCAAGAAGCAGCGCGAGATCCTCGACCACGTCCTCCCTGCCGACGACGTGCGCATGCAGTCCCACGAGAGCTTCTCCACGCCCCCGCTGGAGGAGGACATGCGCCGCCTTTGGGTGACAACCAAGCGCGGACGCATCGCTAGGTTGGCAGACCAAGCTCAGGGCGCACGCGCCGTCGGCGTCGACGATTCCAAGATCGTCGCCGAGCTGTCTGTCAACAAGGCAATGCTCCTCCTCACGTTGTCTCCCGACGAGCGGGTGCACTACTACCGCCGATGCATCGACAACACGGTCAGGCGAAAGAATGCGCTCAAGGACGACATCAGGAAGATGCAGACCGAGTTCGACAACACGGAGGGCAGCTTGAGGACACTACGGGCTCTACTCCAGGAGTCAAAGTCGAAGAGGGACGACGCCACATCCGACCTCGAGTACGACGACGTCTACAGCGACAACGACGAGAGAGAGAAGGACCACCACAACAGGCGCAGGACTCGGACACAGACACCTCACCCACGACAGCGCGAAGACCATCGACCCCAGAAGTACGCAGCACCAGCAGCAGCACCACTTCGACAGCAGGACGACCCACACCAAAAAGGTCACAAAGAGCTGCTCGAGATGATCACAGACCTCTCCAAAAAGGTGGACCAGCAGCGACAACACACGGGACCCCATCAGCACCACCTAGCTCACCTCCACCAACAAGCTGATCTCCGACAATCCGAGCACCGCGAACAGTTGCAGGAGGAGTTCGCGCGCATGGAAGCACACACGTCTCGGAAGGCCTTCAACGAGCTTCATCTCGAACTACAGCACCACGAGCAACGACTCCAGCGCCGCTTCCAGGAGGAGATAGACGAGATCAACGTGCGCAGCCGCCACCAAGAACATCAGCAAGTACAACGGGTCCTACGACAGTCCGAACAACGACGTCAGGAAGATGAAGCTGAACAGGCACATCGCATGAAGACCGAGCTCGAACAGCATCAACCACTTCACGACGCTGCATGCGGTCACCTTGCACGGCGGGAAGCAGTACAGCAACAAGAACTACGGGAGGCTAAGCCATTCTGGCTCCAGCATCTAATATCTGAACACCGCCTTCAACAGGAGGAAGCTCAGTGTGCTCACAACCTCCTACTTCAGCACGAGATGAGAGGGCAGCAACAAGAAGACGCACTTCGACTGGCTCAGCAACGACAGCTTCACGAAATCAACTGCAGGGCTCAGGCGGAATCATCGGCACTCATGCAAGCCAAAGAGAAGATCCTCGAGGAGTACGGCGAACTGCGTGCGCAACAACACGAAGCAGCCACGATTCGAACCGAGCACCAGCACGAACGAGCCCGACTCCAAGGCGAACGTGCCAACCTACACCTCACCGAGCAGCAGCTCCACGACAGATACATCAACCGCCTGGCGACGACCGAGGAGATGCGAATAAAGGAAAGGGAGGAAATGCAACGTGAGTTTCGACAAGCCGAGCTTCATCATGACCCTCTTGATCTTGAACTGTTGCAAGAATTGAACACGAGATTCAGCGAGAGAGACGAGGAGGAAAACAGACAGCAGGCGTTAGCTGACTCAGAGGAGAAGCGCATCCACCGCGAGATCGAAGGCGCCCTCACCGCGATCATCCCAGGCCCCTACGAGATGCCTCACCCACACGCCGACATCTACCTCGAGCAGCTACGACAGATGAGCTCTCCACCGAACGTAGATCATTCCACGTCCAACTCAGACGCATGGAGCTCACGAGACCTCGGCTCTGCAGCCGCACCACCCACCTCACCACCCGCCCCGAACCCCGACCACACACGCGACAGAACGCCCATACACCCTCCAGCCAGTATCGCCCCACTCAGCGATGCCGACCACGACAAGCCCTCTGAAGCACACCACGGCGATACACAAGCACACCAATCGAGCTCTCCAAGATCTTCGTGCTCTCCCACGCCCATCGCCGACGACGGCTACCTCTCTCAGCACGACGACGGACAGTCTACGCCCATTCCTGACATTCATCACGACTCCGACCTCGAAGGCACCGACACCCCCATCCCAGCTGAGCAGGCCACTCCCCCCACCCCACACATCATCTTCCCTGAAGTACGTGCCATGTCCGCCCCCCCCGACACGAGATCGACACCCGACGACCAACAGCGTTCCACGCCCCACACCACAATTCTCATCGATCTCAGCGACGACGAGCACGAAGTACCCACCACGCCCAAGACTCGACCGATCACCAGCATCACCCCAACCCAAGCCTACAGCCCCATCATCCCTCCACCCAGATTCCATATGGGAACGCCCGACAGGGCCCAGTCAGCGCCACCCTCACGAATCCGATCGGCCCTTAAGAGACAGGACCCCACATCACGACCACCGCGGAAGGTCCGTATCCACGACAGCGGTGACGGCTTCGTGGACATATCCGACCGCGTCCCTCTCCGTGCCGATCCCGACGATGAAGGATCGGACACCGCGCTGCGGCCAAAAAACTAGATACGAACGACCCCGATGAGGGCGCTCTGGCTCATCGGACCCGTCGAAAAAGACCAGAGCAACAGGCCCCTGGGCGGCCTCAAGCGTCCATACGCAACTCTCGGCTCAGCGCCACACAGCATCACAATG